TTGGAATTTGGGTGTTTTGGGGGGGGGAAATTTTTTTTTTTGGGGAAGGGTTTGGGTTGTGAGAGAGAAATTTAGGGGGGGATTTGGATTTTTTGGGGGGGTAGGGGAATGGGGGGGGGGGGATGGGTTTTTTTTGGGGGGGAAGGGGGGGGGTGGGGGTATAGAAAGGGGGGGGGGGGGGGGGGGGGGATGAAATGAGATGGCACGCAAAATGCTGAGAACGAACAGGGAAAGGGGCAGGTTGCTTGGGAGGAAGAGAGATAATCCAACACACGACACGTGGGGGGGATTGAGATGATATGGTACGCAGCAAAACATCTGCTTGCGGGACGGACAGGGAAAAATAGCGGGTTACATGGAAGAGAGAGAATCCAACACACGACACGGGGGGAATGACATACAAAGAAACATAGTAGATGGGCGCAAAGGAACCGCGGAGAGGGAAAAACAACTCGTGAGCTTCTTGGGCGGAAAACGGGTGACGAGAGCAGTCGATGCAAAGACAAGAGAGGAAGATCCATTGGAACAGGAGGTGATCGAAAAAACATTCATTGTACGGCACAATATCTGCTACATAAACACAAAAACACAAGCGCGCCGAGAGAAACAGCAACCGGAACGGGGTTCTAGGCGAGGGAAATATCTCAACTTTTCGATTTTGTCGTGTGTCTTCAAAGACTTACCGCAACACCAATAAAACCGCGCCAAAAATTACTTCATGATTAACTGAAACCGTCAGACGTAGCTGCGGGAACATGTTCCTCCACCTCTCCATCTCACTGACAAAGATGATAGGAGTATGAAACATGATCCTACGCTACAAGCGAATGGTGATGTGTTGGCCAAACAGGAGGAAACGACAATATGATCATGGTTTCGTGACGACGCGCAAGTACCCTAAGAAACTGCTCTCATTCTGTAACAATTTGACACACTGCTGTCTTGACAACGAAAAGAAGTAGTGAATGGCTACACTATCCCATCATGGCATTACGACGCGATCGGAGCATTAGGGGACCATACCAAAACATAAAGTGGCTGCCGCACGCTTACCAATGAAGTCCACGAATCAGACACCGTGACAGAAAACACCGCCCTCCAGCGTGCTCGATTGTTGTTTCGACAATTCCGCTGCTGCTACTGAACGTTCGCACGAATTAACCTACCTGTTTCTGGGCCGCGGCGTCCTCGCACAGGCTCGTGATTCGCTTGTCGATGTGCGACCGAAGAACCGCCTGGACAAAAATAAAACAAGACATAACACAACAGCAGGGTATGATACAAACGGAAAGTGGCGAGCTCGGTCAGAATCACCAAGGACCAAAACAATAAGAGCAAAACAGAAAAAAGCAACAGACGCAGACCACAAAAGCGCACATTGAGGCCAAGCTGTGAGGCGCAACAGTAGTCAAGCTCTTTTCGGCGGCAGGGTCTGCGTACGAAGAAAAGTGTTTGGAAGCTTGCCAACGGGCGAGTCGTAGTCGGCACTGCATGCCACAAGTCCAACAACAAGCCCGGTCAGCACGGCACACCCCTGGGGTGCCGACAATCCCAGCCACAACTCTTCCAACGAACACAGGGCCCAGGCTTTGTGCGTGCAACAAGCAGGTGTCGCTAGCGGAAATTCGTCAGACTGTCCCCAGACACGAGGGCACATAATGCCGTACCTCGAGCTACTACCGGTGCTCTACCTCCAACAACGCATGCCAGCCGCCCTCCACTGACCATGGAGAGAAAACAAACACCAACATGAATGACCGTCCCCACAGACACAAACGACCACGAAACTAGAGCACGCATGCATGATCTGACGCCACCCCAAGCCAACCCCGCCTCATGAAAGATATCCGGCAATCGTTCGCCGACGGCCCGAAGGAACCTGAAGAAGCAACTTCGGAGGCTTCCGTTAACACCACGAACGGAAAGTCACGTCCGATTCGCCGCATCAAGTGCCACAACGACAACAAGAGCACATTCACGTACGTGCAAGTCGAGATATGAGAACATCCTTCCGAGAACCACAAAAGGGCGAAGCGGAAAAAGCAGACAGACGTACCCCAGCGTTTCTCCTTTTTCTAGCCTCTTCGCTGTCGTCTTCCTCCTCCCCCCACTCCGCGTCCCCACCGCTGCCGCTCCCGCTACCGTCGCCGCCAATCCCCTTCTCCGGCCCGATGACAACTTCGCCCCTCGCCTTGCTTTCCCAGACCTCCGTGTCCCTAGCGGCTGCCTTGAGGGCGGACTCTTGCTGGCTCATGTCTTGGCACTCCGCGTAAATGCCGCGCATTTCTGTCACAAGGGCCCGACATCGCGCCTGGTTGCGTGGGGGTGACAAGGGCGAGTTGTCGGCCTGTCGTTCAGCTACTGCACTTCTCCGGGTTGCTATCAACGTGAGGGGGGCGGGGGGACGCGCCCATGCAACGGAAACCACGATGTCATCGCCATTGCCAAAAAATAAAAAAACCCGAGCAGCTTTCTCCAAACGGGCATCAGGAAGAACGACCCACAAATAATGCAAAAAGAAGAAAACGAAAGGAATGGTTAATGTCATTTGAAGCGAAGGATCGCAGTCTGCTGTCTTGTTCGGGCCAGAGACAAAAAGCAAACACCGAAAGATGCGTGGTGCACAAACTAACCTTCCGCCTCGCGAGTTTCTCCCGCTGAACGCGAACCACCGCCTCTAAGGGCTTCCACCCCTTTTCGAAGGCCTTCGCCGCCGCATGCATGCGCGCCTCGGCGGCGACGCACTCTTTCTGCATCCTCGAGGTCTCCGCAGCAGCGTCTGACGAACAAGGGGCGGGGGAGACGCGTGGCGACATGAAGGGAGGGAGGGGTTGCAGCTTTCCAATCGTTGCTTGCCCTGAGCGTTGAGGACTTGGTACATCCATGGTTCGCCAAACAGGGAAGAGGCTGCTAGGAAGTATTTTCGGCACGAAAGAAATATGAGCACGTGGAGCACTCCGTTCAACCGTCCGATGGTTGTGAAGGCGGTTACGAATAGTTGCGTTTGAGGAAAGGAGGTGCTCAGCCGTGCTCGTGTCAGAAATGAACCAAGGTTTGCACCCCAGCGGATCATCGACATGCGGCACCCTCGGATCGAAGCCGTTCGATTTGTCGAGAGGCAAAGGCTTAAGGGTAGCAAGAGAAGCGTCGAGTGACGGGGTCAGGTACGCGACGGTTGTTTCTGCGGCACAAAACATCAAAACGTGGGGGCAAGCTTACTCGGGAGGAGTTCCAAGGCTTTGGCGGCGTAGCGGCAGTGCTTCTCCCTCTCCTCCGCCAAGCTACCCAGACGCCGCACTTCCTTCTCCAACTTCGCAGTGTGAAACAACAGGTAGGCAGCATGCTAAACAGTTGGCACTCGCGCATGGTAATCAAGATATCGAGCCTCCAAAAACTTACTAGTAGTTTCGAAGCACTGGGCAACATTGTGAGCTCGGCTACCTAGCGGCCACATTCGTAGCATACCCACCATAGGAAGTAAGAACTAAGAGACCCAGTCTAGGCGAAAACTGGACGTTTTTAAGAGCGGGCGCTAGCTGAGTTGGGTTGAGGTAACCCAGATCTACCAAAAAAACATTTGAGGGTCCTGGGCGGAGCGGGGGGGGGGAGAATGGACATCTTGTTAGCCTCTGGATCGAAGCAAGGCTGGGCAAGGAGTGGGATTAAGACAACTAACGAAAACACCTCAAGAGGCACCACAATATCATAGCAAAAACCACAAACGAAAACCATTCACTCTGTGAACTCGATACGGAACGTCTTCGCGTTAGACTGTGGGCTTAGAGCACGGAAGAGGGTATCTAGTCCGCGGGGCCCCCGCAGCCTGACGTCGATTCACTCGGGGATGCGAAAATGACGTCACACGCATCACCTCATCTGCCTCCTCGTCTTGCCCCTCTCCTTCAGACAGTAGCCTCTTCAGCTCTAACTCTTTCGCCTCCACCTCGAACTGGCGAAACGGCACCGGTTCCGCCGCAACAAGATGATCAAGACAAACAGCACAGCACATGACACCGGCACGGGATGTCACGCCGACCATCGAGCACGTTCGCGTGAACAGCAAAAACACACACAGCGGCAAGATCGCCGATTGAAAGCGGCACCATGGCTCACGGAACAAGTCGATGTGAATAGCTAGCTAGCTGCTTTCAGCCACATTCAGAGGCAATGGCGCCGGCCATTCGATCCTCGACACACACAAAAAAAACAAAATAACCACGCCCAGCCTAGGAGTTACAACCCATCCGCACAACGCAGGAGCGGGGCCGCCATCGCACCTGCAAGAACACCACATCGTCTTCCGTACCCTCCTCCTCCTCCTCCTCCTGCGGGGCCCCCTTCCCCCCTTCCACATCCCCTCCCTCCTCCGGCGGCAGAGCTTCTCCTTCGAGCAACGCAGAAGAACCGCCTCGATCTTCTGCGGCGTCCACTCCTCCTGGCTTTCCTCCATTCGCCGACAACCCTACCGTAGCAGCCTCTTCGTCACCCACACCACTAACTCCGCCCACCGCATCTCCCTCGTTCTCAGGTTCGGGGACCCCGGGACGTCGTTCGTCCTCTCCAGCAGCTTCGCTCGGCCCCGCGACGGGCTCCGCCGCCCCATGTCCTGTCGCACCGTCCGGGTCCGCGCAATCGCCATCGCCCGACCCTCCGGCCGGTTCCCCCGCTTCTTGATGTAACGGTTCGTCTGGGGCCTCCGAAGGCGGTGGCGGGTTCCCAACAGGGCTCTCTGGCTCCCCCTCTCCTGGTCCGTCTGAGGGGTCGACGCTGCCGACTGGAGCAGTGTCTTCGTCCCCGTTCTCGTCGCCGAAGCCTGCTTCCGGTGCCGATACATCGTCATCGCCCCCGGTGCTTGGCGCCGTTGTCTCTGCAGGAACCCCTTCGCCTTCGTCTCCCGTGCAGCTTCCCCCCTCGCTCGCTTCGCCTCTCGTCATTCCCTCCTCCTCGGCCTCAACTCCCGTCCCCACGGATGCTGTTGCATCTTCGCACGATGGCTCCGCGGCAAACACGTTATCCTCTTCGTCGCTTTCCGTGTCGTCGCCGTACTCGTCGGAGACATGGCGAACGGGGGCCCCGTCGTCGTCGTCGTCGTTGCTATACCGCCCGTCGCGGCTCGCCTGGCCGCTACCCCGCTCTCCGATGGCATCTCCATCCTCTTCCGCAGACGGCGTGCTTCTTCCCGAGACCTCGGCTAGGGCTTCCTTTCCGCTGCCGGAGGGCGAACCCTTTCCCTCGACAATATCGGAAGCAGCAGAGCCCCCTTCTCCTGGCTCTTGTCGTCCGGAGGGAGGCGCGGGCAGCGCTGGATCCTCCATGCCGTCCACGTCACCAGTCTCGCCTGCCTCCGCCAAGGCGGTCGGCCGGTCACCAGCATCACCCCCCGCGTCTGATGGCGGAGTTTCTACCCCTCCCGGTCCGCTTTCAGACACTGCCTGCTCAACCCTCTCCTGAGCATCGGTCTCAGGAACGTTCTCGGCGACAGCAGACTGCCGGCTGCTTGCATCTGTCCCCCCGACTACTCGTTCCGCTTCTTCTTCTTGGCCCTCAGACCGCGGCGACGCGTTGTCCTTGTCCTTGTCGGCGCTGCCGCGCTCTGCCGTCCCGCCGACATCGCTCGACAGTAGATCGTCGGCCTGTTGGCGCTCCTTTCCTTCTCCCGGCAAAAGCGGGGGCCCCGTGCCTGGAGCCAACTCCGGAGGGGGAGATTTTGCCTGAGGGGTTCGGCGGCGTGCATGCGTGCGTGAAAGGAGCGGGGAGTTGTTGACGACGGTGGCAAATCGGCTGGTATGCATGACAGGATTGTGATCAACGAGTTCTGCGGGTGCGCTTGCGGATTCTTTTGTGAAAACCGTAACCATGAAATCGTGGAACAAACGACGGCAACCTAGACGTGCACATGCCCGCACAGACCTGGACCCGGAATGTGGCATTCCGGGTATCGCTTGACGAAAAAAGTGACGAGACAGCAGCCGACGAGTACGCTATCGAAACGGACATTGCTCTGATCCAACTCGTAAGCCGGCGCCGAGCCATTGGTGTGTGCTGCGCAATACGCTCTTCCGTGTTCCGTGATACGGCGTCGCACGTCGGCACCGCTTGACCCATCAGCCTTCGGTAGTGAAGGCTGGTTACGACAAGGTTGAAAACACAAGGTTGCTTCTTAAGGAAAGAGAAATGAAAGAATAGGGAGCCTTACCCCATCGGGCGGCAGCATCGTCAGCAAATCCAGCAGCATCCGGCGAGTGTCCTCCCCGCCCGGGTACAGCAGCTGGTGCGCTGACAAGGGTTCGGCGTAGCCCGCGCCCTGAGGCCAACAAAAACAATTCGGCCAGTATCAGACCACAAGACTCGTGCTGTGTGCACCCGACCAAGAAAAGTTGGTCTCGAGACAGGCACGACAATCAACCTCCTGGACGCGGCACAACCTCTGTTTTTTGCCATCCTTAACGCTGGACATGCGGGAGAACCTCCTCCCTTTCCGCCCGGTGTACAGGACACGTCGATTTCTGTCATCAATGCTTCATTTCTCGAACACCAACGCCGTTGTCCGATTGCTATCCTGCTGCTGTTCTTTCGTTTCACCTTCCTTTCCGACAAAGAGGTCCGGGAGAGGCACCTACCAGCAATCGGCACAGTACAAGCCAGACCGAAGAGCCAACAACCAATTAGGAACCACACCCAGGCGGCCGAACCGCTCGCCTCACGCTCACCCTAACCCGACCGGCGACAAGCCTGCAGGCGTGAAACCGCTCCGCCGGGTGGCAGCCCCTGATCGACAACGCCTCGGGGGGGGGGGCGCGAGCCGTCCATCCCCGCGATCATGGATCCGACCGCCTGGATGATGGCATCAGAGCTCAGCTGCCCCACAGAGGAAACCCCGTCTGGGACCGGACTGTTGGACGCGCGCGCGAGAGGAAACGGCGGTGAGATACTGTGCGGTGGGCTCGGTACTGCAGTGGCGCAAGAGAAAAAGAGGTGAGGGTGAAACCTGTTTCTTGGTGGGTTTCATACACCCGTAATATTAGCGCACCAATCGACCCGTGTGTGTCGATGGCATCGGGGGTCACCGCCACGACGCGGTGTAATTGTTGTTCTGGCCGATCTGATGGGAGGAGCGGTCCGCAGAACTGCGGCAGGTCGCGCCGTCAGGTGGTGTTTCGGTGGCAACTTCTAATACGTTTGTGTATGTACCGCCATGCTCTGGAGCTTACGGGGTGGCAATCGACTTCAGGTCACGTCGCATGCCAGTAGTGGGGATGTTGCAGCAATGCTCAGCACGATCAAGTAGTGCTTGCAACAGCGGCTCTTTAACACCCCATGTGTGGTGCAAGGGAATGTACATGATCACACAGGAACAACACCAATATGGGAGGACCGAGGAGCGACAAGAGGTGTGCGGACAGAGAGACAACCGCCAATGGCGGTGTCTTCAAGTTTAATCAACCAGCGAGAGACACTCTCCAAGAACCTCGGCGTGTTTGCTACGGCAGGGCAGAGGTCAGGGGTGACAGGACAGGGCAAGATGACCCATCACATTGCAAAAGCTCACCAGCCGTTTTGCCGCAGGAGCAGGACCAGCAGCTGCCGTTGGCGTCGCGTATGCATACAGAGATATACAGCGCGGTACACACAGAGGGAGATTGAGACACACACATACACCACCAGCGAGCGGAAGATAGAAGAACATTGACGTTAGCATGTGCAGGGAAGGGGGAAAGAGAGGTGTGCTACATGCGGCAGCAGCAGCAGCACTACATAGCAGTGCCTGCATTTTGGTGCAACTCACCGACGTGCCGAATGATAAGGCTCACTAGAAGGAAGAATACACGTTGCAAACGCGTTGAACGCGAAGCCTGCACAGGATCGCATTCCACTCTACGAGCTTCTGACGCTGGCTTGCAATCTTACAAGGGAGTCGATCCCCACTCTTGCAGGAGGGAACTGGGCCAACAGACACCAACAGGGGTCCAGCTTTTCCGAAAGCGTGCTACAGTACATATGAGCTGGGTTGGATTCTTGGAGTCGGTGTAATCGCTGCAGCAAAGCAGTGCCATACCAGAACAAGTATTGGAGACGTCAAGACTGCTGGCAATAGGAACAACACTTCGAGCGTTAAAAACAAGGGTCGTCAAGCAGAGACACACATACCTGGTCCGCTTCTCTCCTCCCGGGAGGCAGCTGCTGGGCAGCCATGCGCCTATTTGGATGCCCACACCGTGCCGGATGCGTGGGCGCGGCTGGTGCGGCTGAAAACGAGCCCCGGGGTTGCGTGGATTAACGGTTCCCCATTCCTGACCGTGTGCCCCCCACCATCACATGAAGTAAATTATTTGTGCACCCGTTGCTGGCTCGGGTGGCTCGCTTCGTGTGATGTTGTTTTGTGTTGTGCTGCTCTGTTTGTTTGTTTTTTGTCGGTCGCTACGCCGTGTGTCTTTCTCTGTCTGTGTCTTTCTCTTTCTGTGTCTTTCTCCTTCGCTTCCCCTTCTCTACATCTGCTCTCTCTCTTAGTAGTCTATTGTTGCTTTCCTGTTTCTCTTTCTCTTTGCTCCAATCTACGCATAGGGTTACTTCGCACAACGTGTTGAGGCGAGCGGATTGGCCTAGACTATCTGTCGTTGACTTTTATTGGCTTGCGGACCCTTCCGGTTCCAATTATATTTTTGTACCTTTTTTGGGTAAGTTTGAGCCTGTGACCACGGGAGGAATCGACCCGCGTCAAGTGTTAGACTAGTACGGAAAAGGTGCTGGGCAACGGGACGATTTTTAGTTTTTCATGTGAAGAGTCAACACAACAACAACAACAACAACCGGACACGCCGCCGGCAGTACACGCTAGAAGGAGTGTTCATATCACTCCCTTTTGGAAATTGTTGAAAGCAAGCCGACGAATATCGTCGGCGTTGCTAGTCCCAAGCTTTATATTTTTATTTTAGTCGCGTGTTGCGCGTGTGCTGACACCACGAACGGGAAGGACCTTAATTAGCCGACACACTACGCAATAATGGTCGTGATGGACGCGGGTACGCAATAAAAAAACAACACATACATCCGATCCTCGGGAATCACGAAATGCAACGTCTACATACACACGGTAGGCACTCTGTCTGTCCCTTTAACACGGTACGTACTGCTTTTGCCTACCACTCACTCTCGTCCTCTCGTCCGCATCAACAACAAACAATGCAACTTGCCGCACAACAAGAGCCATCCCTGCAGGAAAAGCTGTACAAACAAGCAAAAAGCAGCTCCTGCTGCGGTAAGCTGCTGCTGTATGTACCATTTTTCAGCACGCACGAACAACAGATACAGCACAGGCGAAAGAGCTGAGTCTGCCTGTCTGTGTCTGCGTCGGCGTGAGTAGGGGTGGGTGTGAGGTATCGATAGAGTAACGACAGGATGTTTTTTTATGTTTATTCTTCTTAATATGACACAACGAATCCATCTCCATCATAGAAAAGAGTCTGAGACAGATTAGCAATGAATTCATTGTGTATGGCATCTCGACGAGTATCGTCGCGTTGCCTGTCTGAAGCTTTCGATTTTTGCAGCGGGTAACAATCAAGGTAGACACCAAGAAGATGCCCGATGAGCACACAGGAACCGGGGGACCCCAAAAAACAAAAGCATGAAAAACAAAAGAAAGAAAGAAGCGAGAACAAACGAGTCAGACGCGACAGGCTTCAGGGAGGAGGCAAAAGAGCGCATAGAAGAAAAGCACCGTCGCCGCTCGCTCCGGACCGCTGGAAACTCTCACATAGCACTACATATGGAGCAAATATTAGGTAGGGCCCAAGTCCATTGCTTGGCATAACGCCCATCGCTTCACATGCAGCAGCCGGATGCACGGGTAGCCTCTTACTCAGCAAAAAGCGAAACGACTGCGGTTGGTTGACGTTCGATGTTGTTGGGACCCTACCGGCGAAAGGCGAGAGAGAGAGAAAGAGAGGTAGACAAAAATACGAGAGCGGAGAGAAGACAAGGCATTGACTCTCTCGAGAAGAGAAGGCATTGACTCTCTCGAGAAGAGAAGGCATTGACTCTGTCGAGAAGACACTCACTCTCGTCCCTCTGGCCCGCCGCAGGCTGTCAGACATGATGTCACGTTGTGTATCGAACGGCGATATCCGATGTCGGCTCAGCAACAGCAAACAAGCACAACAACAAACAAATATAGTCAGTCGCCGTGTGCGAGCTGTGGACTACTATCTTGTTGTAGGAAGTGAGAACTAAAAAGAGCACGACTACATAGCACCACGGACGAACTATTATCGCAATACGCTTGCCGTCCGCCATAGATGCGCACCGCTGCACGAACGAGCTGTTGGTTATCATACCTCACTACGTAGTATCTAAGATTGTGCTGCCATCTAGCTTACCTATCGCTCAAATTACGACTACGCAGCAGACTCAAGGCAAGGAAGCAACACGCGTGCCGATGCATACCAACCATGCATGCAGCAAAACAAAACAAGGCGGACCGTCTGTTGTTGTTTGTCTCTTCAACTGACTGTGCTGCCGACAACGACACTGGAAAAAAGTAGGAGACGCGCATCGCCTACGCGAGCAACGCGTGCAGCCCAAAAAAACAGAGACGATAACCTTACGACCTTTCTTTTCAGCACATTCCGAGCATATACTGCAGCAACCGCAAGTATGTGTACAGCAGCAGCCGCATGTTGTGTACAACAACGGTCACTCAGGAAGAAAATCACAACAACAAACAAACGCAAAAAAAAAAAGGTGGTGGCGCGCAGCACGCAGGACCCTCTTTCGCTTTGAACCGGCCATTCCCATGGCGAAACAGACAAGGTACAGCAGTGAAGGCCGACTCTTGCCGGCCCCAGGAGGCGGAAGCTGCTACAACTCGGGGACGGGTCATGATTTGCGATTGATTCCTCACCGAACGGATATCGAACGATGACACTACTGTTTCAACTAGCTTCAGAAAATAAAAGCTTCAAAATTAATTGTGAAACTTGCATAGAGATGGCAAGTAAACACCCCGTCCCAAAGAATATCTGTCGTTGATTTTTATTGACTTGCGGACCTTTCGGGGCCAGTTTGTTTTAGCGTACCTCTTTAGGGTAAGTTAGCCTGTGACCACGAGAATCGACCGCGTCAAGTGTTGGATCAGTACGCACATATGAAGGTACTGGGTAGAGAGAGATCTGAACGGTTTTTAATGCGAAGACAACAACAACAACAACAACAACAACATTTAAAACTGAACTAATGGGTGGTGGGCGGATGACCGGCGGACCCCAAAAAGCAAGCGGAAAAATAAAATATAGACTATGTTAAGAAAAAAAAGAAAAAGAAGAAGGGACGACAAAGACAAGTGAGCCAGACGCGACAGGCTTCAGGGAGGTGGCAAAAGAGAGCATACGAAAACCACCGTCGCCGCTCTGAACCGCTGGAAGCTGTCACATAGCACAGCATGCAGCAAACATTATAGGGGCCATGCCCCCGTTGCTTCAAGTAAAGAGGCAGCGCCCATCGCCTCACATACAGCAGCCGGGTACGTACTACACAAATAGCCTCTTACTCAGCAAGAAGAAAAACGATTGCGGTTGACGTTCGATGTTGTTGGGACCCCAACGGCGATAATAGGCGAGAAGGAGAGACAGGTGCTACTACTACGTAGATCAACAGAAGAAAGCGTAGAGAAGGCATTAATTAACTCTCGAGACCCTAACCGAAGACACTCACTCTCGTCCCTGTGGCCCACCGCAGGCTGTAACGAACGACGACATCCGATGTGTGCTCAGCAACAACAAACGCAACAAACCAAATATAGTCGCCGTTTCCGAACTAACTGTGGAGACTCTCTTTCATCACTTGTGGTATGAAGTATGAAGTGACAACGAAATAGAAAATGATGACGAGAAGCACCACGGACGAACTAACTATTTTCTCAATACGCTTGCCGTCGCGATAGACGCGCACCGTTCCACGAACGACCAGTTGTCAAACCTCACTACGCAAATAAGATTGTTGTCCTGCCATCTACCCCTTATCGCTCAAATTACGACTACGCAGCACACTAAAGGTAAGTAAGGCAGCAACACGCTTGCGATGCTTTACCACCCATCCATGCATGTAAGAGAAGAAAAAAAAAAGGGTATGGCGGACCGTCTGTTGTCTGTATCTTCAACCGTGCTGCCGTTGCTTTTCTTCATGGATATCGGCACAGAGAAAAAATGAGGAATGCGCATCTCCTACGCGAGCACGGCGTGCAGCCCAAGCGACAGAGACGATAACCTTATGACCTTTGCAGCATCTTCCGAGCATAACAGCAGCCACCGCATGTGTACAACGGTCACTATAGACTAAGGAAGAAAATCACAAAATCACTGGTTATCGCCCCACAGCGAGCGATAGCTGCTCAAACGACTGTGAGAGGTCTTGAAATCGTCTCAGCTACCCAGAACTGCTGGTAGTTGCCGGAGATTTGCAGGTACGTACTGCTTTTGCCTACCACTCTCGTCCTCTCGTCCGCACATCAACAACAACAATAAATGCTAATTTTCGCACCACAAAAGAGCCATCCATGCAGAAAGTTGCAACAACAGAACAAAAGCAGCTCCTGCTGTATGTACACAGAATGTCCAGCTGTGTGCTGAGGTCGGTCAGCATCTCGAGAGAAGCGTAGCCAGCAAGCAAGGCTTGGCGCGGGACACGAGAGAAGCAAGCAAGGCTTGGGGCGGGCGGCGAAAAAAAGAAGACGACTCTATATAAAAAGATCTGTAAAAAGAAGGGTTGGCGCGGGCGGCGAAAAAAATGAAGACGACTCTTATTATACAAAAAGATCTATAAAAAGAGGACCCTCAACGACAAGTCAACCAATCTGGTCGTTCCGATGTGACGATGTAACGCAGATCTTCTTGTCGACGGAGAAACTGGTTATCGCCCCACAGCAAGCGATAGATGCTCAAACGACTGTGAGAGGTCTTGAAATCGTCTCAGCTACCCAGAACTGCTGGTAGTTCTCGGAGGTTCGCAGTGTGGGCTGAGATCGGCCTTTTCGACCCGGTCGGGCAAGGGGTCCGCTATGCTACTGAAAACTCCACAGACGGAAAAAAAAGACTTTTGATCGACTGAGACCCAAGCTAGAGCTGTGGGAATCATCTATAAAAAAGCAGGACCCTCACGAAAAGCTGTACAAACAAGCAAAAAGCAGCTGCTGCTGCTGTAAGCTGCTGCTGCTGCCGTATGCACCATTTTTCAGCACGCACGAACAAGAGTTGAGTCTGCCTGTCTGTGCCTGCGTCGGCGTGAGTAGGGGTGGGTGTGAGGTATCGATAGAGTAACGATAGTTTTTTTTTTTGTTTTGGACACTACGAAACCATCTCCATCATCTGATCTCCATCATAGAAAAGAGTCTGAGACAGATTAGCAATGGATTAATCATAGCGTCACCTGTATTTTCAATGTGGTACGCGTATGCGAAAAAAAAGAAGACGACTCTATAAAAGGAGGACCCCGAACTAATAATAATCTGGTCGTTCCAATGAGATCCTTTTGTCGAAACTGGTTTTCGCCCCACAGCGAGAGATAAGCTGCTCAAACGACTGTGAGAGGTCTTGAAATCGTCTCAGCTACCCAGAACTGCTGGTAGTTCTCGGAGGTTTGCAGTGTGGGCTGAGATCGGCAGTCCTCTGTCTCGTCCGCACATCAACAACAACAATAAAACGGGCAAGGGGTCCGCCTCTTATACAAAAGTATCTATAAAAAGAGGACCCTCAACGACAAGTGAACCAATCTGGTCGTTCCGAAGTGACGATCTGGTCGTTCCGATGTGACGATGTAACGCAGATCTTCTTGTCGACGGAGGCACTGGTTATCGACCCACAGCAAACGATAGCTGCTCAAACGACTGTGAGAGGTCTTGAAATCGTCTCAGCTACCCAGAACTGCTGGTAGTTCTCGGAGGTTCGCAGTGTGGGCTGAGATCGGCATTTTCGACCCGGTCGGGCAAGGGGTCCGCTATGCTACTGAAAACTCCACAGACGGAAAAAAAAGACTTTTGATCGACTGAGACCCAAGCTAGAGCAAACGATAGCTGCTCAAACGACTGTGAGAGGTCTTGAAATCGTCTCAGCTACCCAGAACTGCTGGTAGTTCTCGGAGGTTCGCAGTGTGGGCTGAGATCGGCATTTTCGACCCGGTCGGGCAAGGGGTCCGCTATGCTACTGAAAACTCCACAGACGGAAAAAAAAGACTTTTGATCGACTGAGACCCAAGCTAGAGCTTGGGAATTTTGATCGACTGAGACCCAAGCTAGAGCTTGGGAACCTAAGATGTGATAGACATTTATCCGGAATTAATTGTGTACTATCTACGATCCTTCCTCGCCGCCGACGTCAGTCAGACTGCTGCATTAAATTTCTTCGGCCGAAGCTCGGTTGTTGGGAGTTATTCATTCCAGATCTATGCCTACTCTGTATGTAGTATTTTCCGCCAAAACTTGGGTGCGAAGTAGTGCGAAGAGGCCCGAGACCGAAGCGTCCAAGACGTATGGGCAGGTCTCTGCCATATTCTGGACGGGCGGGACAAATTTCACTTTATTTAATGGAAAAATGCCCATGATCGCAAAAAAAGTGCTTTTTCGACAATAATATTAGTCTTGATCGGTGTATAGAAGCCGAAATCAAACCATTAGACTAGTCAGCGCTGACTAGTCTAGGTTTCGGCTTCTATAAAAGTTAGTTGTGGGGTTCGTGAGCCCCGTCACTTTCACTTCCGAGGAGGGTGACTCCCCTTGCCGGCGCTACTATCCCTCCCATGTTTATTTCGCTTCATATCACTCGCCCCCCACATCCTGCAGAATGTTCCAGGGTCCACGGGTCCTTCCGTCACCCATACTCTGGCCAGGAGTATCCAGGGTCTCAGGAAACACGCTTCAAAGTGTCCAGCCTGGGTCTCGAACCCACGACTAACTTTATAGGCGTTGGCGTACCCTGTGAGGGCAAGGGTATTCGGAAACGTTATCCTGCACGCCGACAGATGAATTTCTTCGGTACAAACAAACGCAGGTGCATGGAGGCATGATGCCATTTTGAACATGATTTACCCCCCGAACACACACACCTAGAGTGCTGAACAGGTCGGGGTAGAAGAAAATATCATACCCTGCATGACCCGCAGGCACTGCTGTTGACATTTTCCGACGGGCACGCAAAGACCTGCACAAACACACTAGAAACTGCTGACGCAGCAGAGAGAGAGAGAGAGAGAGAGAGAGGCACTTGTTGAAAAACTGGACACTCGTTGATATACGGGAAACCATGTTTTGTGCAGTTCAAGCCACGAACACCACAGAGATGATGGATGCAGAAAGAAAAGAAAATACATTGAAGGGGGGGCTCTACTTTATTTGAACATTCTGCAACAGGAACAAGCACTCAATGAAGATCTGGAAGACAGCCCGCAAGAGACTCACTGTACCCTGTCCCTCGGAGGGAGCGGGATCTATCTAGTTTCTCCAACTGATGTGCGACAAACACCGCACATAAGGCTACTCTATTCTTGCCTGCTGTCGTCATTACTGAACTCCCCCACATGCTACGATTACCAAGAACCCAAGGCGAAATGTCGCGCCCTCCCCAGCATAAGGTACGTGCTCCACGTTGTGAACAATACACGCACGAATGCTAACTAAGTCACAGTTACGTTCCTCGTGCCCACCAACCGTCCCTGGCCTAAACCACTCAATGGACACCAACCATCAGCTCAAACATATCGCATGTGCGTAGCGCTAAAGCCGTGAGTGGAAGAAGAAACGTCATAACTGGCTTCCGGAACATCCTCTGAGACACCCATCCCCTCTGTATCATACACTCCCCCCAAACGGCCGACGAAGTTATCCCCGAAATAAGTCCCCGGGGCATCCATTTGGGGATTAAGGTGCACGCTCTACACTCAACGAAAAACCCGCGGAGATTGTCTACCCGAAAATAAATCCACTCCCGCGGGGGAGCACAGCAGTAATTCTGCGGAACAGTTCCAATCGGCATTCATTGGCGGTTGACTACGTACAGTCCGCCTATTTCTACGCCTTACAACGAGGCGAAGGCTTGCAAAGTTAAGAGAGCCTGACTACATTCGGCCAAATGCCGTAGTTACTCTCCGATCATCTTTCTCAGAGGCGGCTGTGACAAAATCCAAATGAGGATATGCCATACCGCCTTGAAAAAAGAAAAACTTGCTTGTCAAGCGCGAAGTTCTCCTAAACTTCTGAATGACAGCAGACAACAAACCAGTTACGGTAGTGGTGAAAGAACGTTCCCAAAGGTAACACCCAAATAAATCAAGATTTCATCGAAGCAGATCTGCCGACGACCCGGTTCCCCCCAACAATTGACCAAAAACAACAAACCACTCACTTAAATACTCCGTCAAGGTTCGGCCCGAAAGGTGTTCCCTGCCCATCCCCGTCCCGTTCTTCATCCCCGTTCCCGCCCGGTACAGAAAATGAAGAAGATGCACGTCTGAACCAAACGGCCTGATGAAAGAATTCTCCAGCCCACGCTCGGCGACCGTTCTCAGCCATCAGCTTGTTAGCATGCACGGCCCTGTGGTGCGAAGTGCCGAAAGGACGACGGAACACAGCCGGCGGCTGCCGGGGAGGAGGCAGCACGCGCGTGTGCAAACAGAGTTGGATACTACCAGCAAGGTGAACGCTAGCGATGAACCGAAGGCTTGTTGCAAAGCTGAATGCAGCAACGTCGAGTTGAAGACGACAATCACGAAAGACTCAGCGATACGTTGATCGCCTGCGATGAGAAGGATGACAATAAGCTGAATGCTAGCAACACGTCGACGCGAAGGAGAAATAGACAGCACTTCTTGTACACAGCAATGCACCTGGACATAGAAGCGTGTGAACTTGGCTTCAGACCTAGACTCACAAAAACAAATATGTACCCACAGCTGGTGGAATGTATTTCATGCGCGAAGCGAGGCACTTCAAGTACACCACAACCGCGGGTTGAGCATCGTGCCGATGCTGTCGAATTGTTAGCTGGCAGGCCCGACCCGAAATCGTACCCCGGAACACAGAACTCGAGTCCTAGCTTTCTCGCAACCCAATTGTGCTGTCACTCAAGAGTCTTGACAAATGGATGGGATCATGGGCAATGACTGCTGCGAAGAATCTGGTACTGCTGTTGTGCTTTGTCTACTGTAGACGAAACATACAATGAACAAACACTTGTTGAGCGGTTTCCTTTGTCTCCTTTAAGAGGCACCCAAGAAGTAACTCGCATGAGAGCAACCTTCAAGCACGCTTTGAGCGCAAACAATACAAGGCAAGCTACTTGACGTTTCTACTTTGCGTGTAGAAGAGTACACTCCAACGAAAGAGAGAACATGCTGTGGTGGCCATCAACACCGGCACTATTTCCGCCCACACTTTTCGAACACGTTTCAAGGTTCACGTTTGCAACTCACCGTCATGGCTCACAGGAACTTCACGATGTTCCGGAAAACACCTTCTTCCAAGCCCACCACAGTTGCCACCACACCGTTCAAGCCTCGACCGACCCGCCCGTGAGGCGTACCGGAGCGGACGCCATGCGATGCTGCCGCTGTAACGCCCCGCACTCGGACACTTCTCCCGTTTCTACTGTTCGCTCCTCCACTATCAGCTCTCAGCCGAACCTTCTCCGGGAAAGCATGGCACAAGACCAGCCAGCCTCGACGACGCCATGTCCTGTCCTTCTCAGCGCCCTTCAAAAGCTTTCCAATGGGAAGCACCTCTGCATGGGCAGTATCGGTGACCCCAACGCGATACTCCCAAAGCTCTCCCGGGCTCCGGCCGTCCTGCGAGTCATCTCCGTCGTCCTTGGCGGTTTCATCTGCACCCCATCTCAGCAGCAGATCCACAGGGGCGGGATTGATCTGGCAGACGTCCGCGCCATCAACTGCAAGGTGTAGTGGTGAGCGTCCATCATTGTCTCTAGCACGGATGTCGGCACCGCTCCTGAGAAGGGCCTTCATTTCTGCGCGCATGTGGGAGTACGCCGCGACATGAAGGGGGGTTCTACCGTTGCTGTCGCGGGCCTCGATTGCAGCACCTCCGTCAACGAGGGCGTCGGTCGTAACGCCTCCGTTGTAGCTCTCGGCGGCCTTGTGCAGTGCGGTGCAACCATCCGAATCTCGAGAATCTGGGTCCGCGCCGTATTCAAGTAGCTTCTCCACGATCGAGGTAGAATGAATAGCCGCCGCGTGCAGTGCCGTGGATTCCTCGTCGTCACGAAGATTGATGTCCGCACCATCGGCGAGAACTAGTTCTACGCAGGACGCGCTACCTCCTCGGGCGGCCTCGTGAAGGAGGCCCCGGTTACTGGCCGTCCGTTTCGTCGGATCCGCGCCACACTTAAGCAGAGCGGCGGCCGTTTCAAAGCACCCCGAACGAAGAGCTTCATGAAGAGGAGTACCCCCGTCTGTATCCTCTGCCTCGAGGTCGGCCCCTGCGGCGATGAGCGCTTCAACTACCTCCACATCTTCCTGGACAACAGCTGTGTGCAAGACGCTAACGCCATTGGTTCGGGTACCCTTCACGTCGACGCCGTGTTGAGTTAATGCCTTCAGCACCTCTAGTTTCGTATAATAGACAGCCAGGTACAGGGGAGAGGAGCCATCATCGGTGGGGAGGTTGGGGTCTGCACCGCCGACCAAGAGGGCGGTCACAGCAGCGCCATGGCCTTCACGAACTGCAAGGTGGAGCGGCGATTCACCCTCGGCGTGGAAATAGTTGCCGCTACCCCCGTACCTCATGAGCGCCGTGACAGCTTCAGCGAACCCTACAGATGACGCGCAATGGAGAGGAGTCCAGCACTCCTTGTCCCTCGCGTTGACGTTTGCCCCGGCGGCGGCAAGAACATCGATGGCCGCCACATTGTTGATGGAGGCAGCAGAGTGCATGGCAGTACGGCCAAGCTTGTCCGTCGCATTTAAGCTAGGCCGGTGCAAGAGTAAAACTGTCACGGCCTCAGCATGGCCCCCAACCGTGGCGAGGTCCAACGCGGTCTTTCCATCCTCACCACCACGAAGGTTTGGCTGCGCACCCTCGGCCAGGAGTGTATGAACGATGGCGGCGCTGCCGCCCTCTGCAGCCAGGTGAAGAGCTGAGAATTGATCGCCGTTCAGCTTGTTCGCGTCAGCTCCGCGCTGCAACAGAATGGCCACTCCTTGCGATGACTCAAGCTTGGTCGCCAGGTGTAACGGTGTCTCGCGCATTTCACCTCCCTCGACGTCAATCTCAGCACCGGCCTCTACAAGTGCGTCGATTACACCCGTGTCCTTGTTCGAGATCGCCATATGAAGAGCGGTGAGGCCCGCCTTATCATCCTCGCCCGCACGAAGGTTTGGCTGGGCTCCCGCGGCCAGGAGTGCTTGTACCATGTCAGCTGCGCCATCCTTGGCAGCCAGGTGAAGAGCGGAGAGTCGATCACCGTTTAGCTTGTTTGCGTCTGCCCCGTGACTCAACAAAGTAGCCACGACATCCACTGAAGCAGTCCTTACCGCCAGATGCAGCGGTGTGTTACCCGCTCCACTCTCCGCGCGGGCGTCGGCCCCAACCTCGACGAGCACCCGAGCCGCGGCAACTTGGGCTTGAGCGGCAGCGATGTGCAAGGGAGTCATACCAGTAGCGCCAGCGTCATTTACGTCAACCCCGTGTTGGTTCAGCGTGCGTATGATTTCCACATTACCGAAGTACGCAGCACAATCCATTGCCGATTGATCACGGCCGCCGAAGCGGAGGTTGAGATCCGCGTGGGCAGAAACCAGAGCTTCGACAGCAGCGAGAGAGCCTTGCTCAGCTGCTACATGAAGAGGCGTACGATTGTTGCCATCAAGCACATCCATTTCAGGTTTCTGGAGTAGCAGTAGCGTAAGGATGCCGTGATGGCCGTGACGCACAGCGACGTGGAGAGGAGTATCGCCGCTCTCGTCCGGCTCTCCTGGCGATGCCCCCAGCCTCAGCAGCTCCGCAACGACCGCCTCCTGACCTCGCCTCACGGCTGAATGCACAGCAATGCCTCCTGCTCCCGCTTGGGCGAGCTGGACAACGAGATCCATCTTGCCCGCAGCCACAGCATGCTCCAACGGAGTCCGAAGCCACTCTGCCCACTGCTCAATGGAGGCCCCAGCACAGATGAGGTCGAAGATGGCTGCTTCTGCACCGGTCAAGATGGTCCGAAGACGCTCTGTTGAAGAAGAAGAGCTACTCCGTACGCTGCCAGCCATTGGTCAAGAGGGGGAGCACAGGCTGGCACAACAGTTGAGCAGCCCACCACTCTAGGGGCGGGATGATGGTTTACGTGGCGTGGAACGACCGCCGCTGCCTCTGGGTGCGGTTTGCTGCTCTCTTGTGCAAGGGTGCAGGGAGTTGCAGTTTTGCATGTTTTGCGTGTCTCGCCTTTCAAATTTGCGGGGACGGACGGCATGTTCCTCGACCCCATTCTACGTTGCTAGTACGCAAAAAATGTACGTAATTGCATCACGTGTGTGTTGATCCTTGGTTGGAAACCATGACATTGCGGGTATACATATGGCTGAGGCAATGGTGGTGATGTACGTAGAGGTGCCTAGGCGGCATGGAGCACTGCGCCCCGACACAATTGAGTGCCCACGATCAAAGTTGCACGTGAACCCCTCCCTCCGCAGTGTGTCGTGCAAGCAGGACAAACCCACGATGATCAGATATGACCACTGATGTAGAAGTATGTACGTATAGCACCCGATATTGCATTCCCTACCGTACCATACTTGGGGCGCCACGAGAGTTGCACTGTAGCTCGAGATCAGCATTTGAGACCCTGTCGGGCAAGGGGTGGGCTATGCGAATGAAAACGACAGGGACAGAACAAGTGAATTTAGGTCGATAGAGACCTAAGCTCCGTCGAGCTTGGGAAATCTAATATCGGTTTCCCTCCATTCACTGAAAAAACTTCAACGCGCATCCCGTTCGACTGTGGTCATATCTCGAATGGGTAGTCTTTCTGTGTTTGTAGTTCTGTTTCCTTGTATCGTAGTGCCTTACAAAGTCGGAATAGCAGCGGGGGGTGCGTGTTGGTGAGCTTAAAAAATGATTGTGTGTGGGGGTGTTGGTTCGGTGTCGTGTAGGCACAGGTCAAAGGCAAAATTCAAGTGCTCCGTATGATCCAGTACGTATCCTGTACAGCTGCAGCTGGACGAGAGGTTTGGCTCTGAGTACCAGGGGTTCACCGGACCCCTGCATCATTTCGGTTTTTAAATGCGCGGTTGCCAGTTGTCCCAAAACCCCAGCTACAGTACGTAGCTCCAGCTCACGTATAGGAACCCACACATTTTTTTGTTTCCCGCTCGTTGATGACAGCAGTAACGACGTATGTAGTTCATTCATCGCCAAGTTGGTTTGTTTGGCTCTCTGGATGAAACTCGCACTGCTGTTGTTGTAACACACGACGAATATCGACGCTATTATATTGACAGGAGAAGCAGGTAAAACACACGTCGCACCAAGGTACGCCCAAGTTTCTTCGTCTCTGTTGTCGTCATTCATCTCAAGGTGATTCGAAACTACGTATCTCTCTCGTTCTTTTTCGGAACACGGCACACGGCGGATGGCGCTCGGCGCATGAAGACCATTGTCTGTTCTAAGACTAGGTCGCAGTTGCGTCATGCCCAGTATATCCACCACACCAAGACCCGTCGCTGTTGTGCGTTTTTTCGGGGATGTCGGGAAGCACCAGCCGCTGCCACGCAGACAGGAGGAAGGGCATAAAAGAACCTTGTCGCTTTCTTGTCGATGACTGCAGTACCTTCCCGCAATGCTTGCACACATTACATCATCGCGCCGAGTACACTGCCGCTGCTGTTGACGTCTCCAACACGAGTCAGAGGGGAATATCCTTCGAGGGCGGCTCGATCGAATGCCCGAGTTCGAACACGAACGAAAAAGCATCTGCCACTTCCCCCACACAGGCAAGCACCGGTGAATTCATATGTAGCAGGATCGAACAACCTCCGGCACCTCAGGGTGTGCTGTCGCATCCGTTCAGAACACCACCGAGAATGAATCGCAGGCTTGTGTTTTCGAGCTGGAGTGTTTTCGAGAAATCATGTCGTGGGCTTTCCGCCGGCACCCACACCAAAGCAAGCAAACCTAGCAAGCAAACCTTGTAATGGGGTTCAACTTGCTGAGAGCGTTACCAGTCAAGTTGGGCCGCTGGTTAATGTCTGCTCGTGCCACAGATAGTTGCTAGGAAAAGAACGCTTCGGGAGTTGTTCAAGTGAGATGGATGAGGCCGCTTCAAATAGCGATATTTGTGTGGCGCAGGAGTGAGCTCTCCCATTGTCAACCAAAACCACAAAGGCACAACAAAGGTCAATGTAAACTTTGTGGTACTGTAGTAGGACAACAAAGTCTACGAACTGTATCCGGTACGACTGTCATCACGATCCTGATAACGCATACATATGGAGGTGTCGAATGGCGCCTTCCCAAAGCACAAAGGCAGGCCTCTCCTTAACAAAGGTGACCGATGCTCCCTTGAATGCCACATCACCTATGCATCCCAACCCGCTACTGACGTTCCAGATTCTCAGCATTTGGACGGTTCATCACGGCCAGCTCCAAAGTCAATCGCCCAAGGGAAGCGCTCGACTAGAGGAACAGCAGTCACGCCGAATTCAGCAGTGCTAATCGATTCCGAGCGACCTACGAAGAACGTTTTGGTGTTCAATGAATCGCCCCCGACACTGCCCCGTCTACTCTATTTTCTGACAACCGTAGACCGTTAGCGGGGAAACGTGACTAGGTCTGGCCGGCTGCTTGTTTCCAACGTCGTTTCAGAGTACCGCCGACCTAACACGAGGTACCACGAACACGGTCTTTATACGACAAAATGGAAGAATAGTGGGGACACGAGATAGCAGGGCGGGTGCAACGTTTGACAGATGTACTCGCGCTTCCAAGACGACATGTGCGTTCGGGATAAGAAGGACAGCCCGGACCAGATACATGCACCAACCAAGTCAAATGACGGTAACCTGCCACCGAAGAAAGGGACACGCTACGTCAAACAACAGCCTGTTCCTCAGGACGAATCTACAGACACGTTAGCTTCGAAGAGCCGCGTCTATTCACACCAAACACGGGCTCGAGAAACACTAACGGACGTGACGTTCATGCGGTAGCACCTGGAGATCTGCCATTCCACGACAAACAGCAACCTGTTGTGGATGGAAAACATGACGACCCGTATGTGCAACCTCGCAAATCATGAACACATTGTATCGGGACGGGCAGCCCCCATCTGGTTAAAAGGAATATGGTAAAATAACAGCACAATTTGACCCAACTCACTTCAGCACTCCGCGAAGTTGCAGCCAGAATCTTCCCACGACGTCAACCTCCATCCCCCATCATCACCCGGCATGGCAAGCACAGGCGTATGTCAGACCCGATCGCATTTCCCTCTCGCAGGCCCCTGGGCGTCAGTCCTTTCAGCTCGCCTGATCAGGATACATGACCCTGTCGAAGAGCCAAACGAAAATTCAGAAAAACGGTCAATTGAATAGGACGGGGAACGAGGTGTGCGGGCGAACAAACTGGCGCACCAACAACCGTCAAGAAGGAGTAAACAATCGCATCAAATGGAAAGTGGGTAATTTGTGAAAGCACGACACCAGAGCACCAAATAGAACCGTGCCAGCTTCATAGATCTGATGCCACGAAAAGCAATCCCATTCACTGGCCGTCCTTGCGTCATGCACGACGCGACGCACACCAGAACTTGGGCGCGACGAGGGTTCGTCTGGCAACGCCCAGGAAAGCATGAATAAGCCGCAACAACACATTGGTAGATGTTCTGACGCCGGATTGGTTGCGGCAGAGAACGAAGAAATCAGGAGCGCACTTTTCGAGTATCTTCTCCCCTGTATTGAGAGGGGTGTGGTCTGCGGCGAAGCAAAATCGTTCAGAGTTTTCGTGCCTCAAAAGGTTGTTGCAGTGTTCTTTTTTCTCGGGATGGTACTGAAATCCGAACATTTACCGTCGAGACTGCCCTCGCCAAAGACAGACTCGCGACGGAGCTTTTCTTCAGCCATAACGAGCTGTACAATCTCGCCCAGTTGGTCAACCACACAACCGTGTGATTGGCGTGTGGCAAGCGGCAAATGTTCATGTTGTGAACAACAAGACAGGCAAATGATGAACTAGCGCATCTGCCGCCTGCAGCTCACTATTGGGCAACTATATGCAGATGAGATTGGTACGACCTGACCGATCACTAGACCAAGCACGCACCCCGCCTCATTCGGTGAACTTTAGCGGGTACCATAGAACCTGAACAGCCAACCCTTGGGGTAAAACATAAGTGACGCCGTGCCATGTAGCTCATCTGCCGTTCGTAGCTTACATGAGTTGCATTGGTCACCTACCAACAATCAGCGCGGTGTATTTCTGAAACATGGCGAAACTATCACATGTGAGGGCACACAAAACTGGATTCTTTCAAAGCCTGGACATTTTCCAGAGAACTCAAGCAGAACATGGAAAAATAGGAGGAAAAAAAACGGGCGTTTGGACGGGAACAGGCAGACCGATTCTTACGGTATCGGTTTGTGCGGGTATGGCAAAACCAATTGCTTACGGCAACTCGGTTGCAGACATACTCGTGTACCTGACCAGGAGCACTCTCAAAAATACCAAACATTCAACATCATATCGCAATACATCAACTGTGTCGAATATTTAGAATCTTGGGTATTCACATATGCATATTAGTTCGCAAAGTCAACAATATTGAGCACTTCCATTGTCCCTTTTCACGTCCTGAAGCCGTTGAATGAAACCACTCTTGATGCCCTATCTTTCCCTCAAAAGCAAGATGGGAAAACCTGATGTATGTACACGTTTGATACCAGACCTCGTGCTCTTCTTCTACATCATTTTTTTTGTGTTGGGGATCAGTATCATCATACTATATCCGACTTCAGCTCTGCTAGAATTGCTACTCCTAGAGTTTGTTTATCAACATTCAGCACCGTTGTGTGTGGCGCGCGGCTGGTGCATGTGGATGTGAATGTCTTTAGATGCCATCGACCGCGCTATCTAGCTACCAATGAGTGACCGCCAGTCAAAACATGCAAAGAAAAAAAAACTGAAGGCACGTGTGTCTTCACTCAGGGCCTTTACAAACACCCCACGGACGCGGGAACAAGGAACCGGGAACCGGGAGAATTCCCCGTGTTCTATTCCACGCCGTTGCGTCATAACCACACAACATGCAAAAACAGCACGCAGGCATGGAACAGAGAACACTGCAGAGCGCGCATGCGGTCCGCAGGAACTCGGAGGCAATAAACACAACCACAAAAGGCAGGATGAGTTGTGGTGTAGGTTTTGATCGAAGCTGTTGACGACAGCATTCATCATCTGTTAGAGCAGGCGGTGCTCGTCGCGCAGTCCGCACCCTCGAGAGTGCTTTGGAAGGGTTGATTTGTACAACGGCAGGTTGCCATCTGCTTTACCACCTCTGTCTTTCTCAAAACAACGACGGCTGCAGAGCATATCGTCGCCGTGGTTTTGCATGCGAGACACGTGATGATGGTAGGAAAGCCTAGATCACTTGAACCGGTAGGAGGCAGAAACTCGTGGCAGCGACATGCCCGACTAGATCACACACATCCCACCACGTCCTGAATTGCCACAGAGAAGCCCGTGTTCCACGTTCCACATGGGTCAATAAAACCGTTTTCTTGAACGAGTCCATGAAAAGTCTTCGAACTCAAAATTCCGCGCGATCACCAAAAAGGTGGAACCAACGGAGCCGCAATAGGTACAAGGATGTTAGTTGCGTGTGGTCGACCAATCAAAAATCGAGTTCCCGTTCCCTGTTCCCACTGTTTCCATTTGGATCAGGAGAGTATAGTAGTACACGCATTGAAATCCGACCTCACAGTGTCTTTCGTTTTTTGTCCGTGAATGCTGTGCAAAAGATACACTCGTTTGAAGGAGTTCAGAATTCGGGAAAGGGCGACGCCCAGAATGGCAACTGAAACATCTCCAAAGCTGTTGCGAGAAATTCCCAGCTCAACGCACGCCTTCGTTTGAACTCGCGCGAGCGTGTGTGCTGTGCGTGTGTGTGTGTGTGTGTGTGTATTATTAGCATCGACCGCGCTCACCGGCTGACCAATGAAAAGACGTCAGTGCCAGCGGGTAAAAATCAAGGTCCATGGAAGGGGCCAAAATTTGAAAAATGCGCAATGCGCTCAATGCGAATGCCAATACGACTCTCTCTACATATTCTTTCACGTAGACACACATCTCAGTTACACAAATGCCCTCGCTCGGATCTAGGAAGCCACTGATGCAAAGAGCGGAGGACAGTAAAAGGGTTAATTCAGGCCCAGCCGAAGCCAGGATATCGTGGTATGCTGCATCTCCCAATATGATAATCGTACACTCCCAAGATCCAACAATCATCGTGTGTGTATGTGTGTGTGTGTGTGTGCGTATTCGTATTAGCATCGACCGCGTTAGCTAGCTGATCGATGAAAACAACTCAGTAAAAAACGGGATAAAAACGCGAACGGACACGCTTTCAACCACAGCGTTCTGCCGACAGGGGGGGGGGCGGCGTTGAACGGCAGTGTCCTGCTCCTGAAACAACGAGACAATTTATAATAATACTGCCAGGCAGCAGCGTTGCTGCAGACTCTCGTTCTGCCGTGCTAGCATCGTTGCCCTGTGCGTGGTTGCATTCTGTCCGACTTCGCTTTGCGCTATGGAGCCCCTACTAGCTTCAGCACCGTAATCCATGTATCTCTTTTCGAGCCCTCTCTACTACCGCCGTTACGCTGAAGGTCTGAAGGATAAAGGCCCTTTCTTCCACACCGTCAAACACAAGCATGTCCCGCGTGCCAGATAGATGTTCGGATATGCTGAAGCAGTAGCAGCGTCGCTCCGACTCTCGCATACATGTATCAACCAACAGGCATCTGGAAAGCTACGGGTCCGAAACATATCAGTCCAACACCAATGTGCATCAGATATCATTTGTGCAACCCCACGTGCACGTCACTCTGCATACAAACAACCGGGTGAATAGGATCCGGTCCATCACGCAGACGGAAGATGTCGCCCTCACATTCATCGATTTGTCCAACAGGTTAAGTCGGGCAAAGATTAACGGGTGGAATAGGACGACCCATTGCCCAATGTAAATATGCGTGCAGCTCACGTGGACCGGTGTGTTCGCACAGAGCCTATCGTAGAAATAGCTACGTAGCTCCAGAAATAGCTACGTAGCTCCAATTGTAGGGTTAAGTGAATTCCTTGGTGTGGATTCATCTCAAAAACCCCATTGTGTATTTCCTATTTAGTGTAAATCGGTGCCTTGAATCAAGGCGTTCTTTGTCCCACATGATGCCGCATTGTCTGGTCCAGCAAACGCCAACCGTAAAGCAGGGTGTGAATTACGGTGTTTTCTTTTCCGTAGCAAAATCACAGACATTAGTCTATCGTTTGTCCGCAACAGCCGATTAAACTTGAAGAGGATCAAATGTTTGCGATAAAGACAACCAAAACTATATAGCTCGTGCAAAAGACAACTCAGCGGGTATTGTTAAACGAATAGCTGGTTCCATTCAACAAACCCATAAGAGTTTGTGGTGATGCGATTACAGCGGAGCCTGCTTCAAGGCTTCGCAAAAAAACAAAACAGATAATGTGCGAGACCGACCATGCAGAATGGCCCGCTTCTCTCCGCAACAAAACACAACGATTCGTATCCCATGACATCCAGGATCACCGCTAAAGTGGACGCCCCGCGGCACGAGTCGAGTAGGCACGACCGTTCGATAAGATCATACCGTACAAATATTGTTCTTACTTGCAGGTGAGACGATATCGCACGCGCCGTCTTGGTCTGCCTTTGAATATGTTTCCGAACTGCACAGAAGAGGCACGCAGACACAACAGTCCTAGGGATTCACGTTCCACTATTCTCTGTTGACCTTGGGCCCACACTTTCGACGGGTGCCAACTTGGGTACGGGGAACATAAGAGCAACAAAGGTCGTTGCAGAGCTTGCTGAGCCATGTGGATGCGTTGTGCGCTCGAAACAGTGAGCACATGGTATGGCGATGCATGTCCTGCTACGTTCATCCCAAGCGCAAACGCGTTACAACGTTCTTGCCAAGATTCATATTCGTGACTCACCTTCGTAGCTCACAAGAACTTCACGATGTTCCGGAAAACACCTTCTTCCAAGCCCACCACAGTTGCCATCACGCCGTTCAAGCCTCTAGCGCGTACATCACCCGATGCTGCTGCTGCAACGCCTCGCACTCGCACTCTTCTCCCCATTCTAGCGTTCGCTCCTCCACCATCCGTTCTCATCAGCACCTTGTCCGGGAAAGTACGGGACAAGGCTAGCCAGCCTCGACGACGCCATGTTCTGTCCTTCTGAGCGTCCGCCAACAGCACTTGAACGGGAGCAGCTTCTGCAGCAGAATACCATTCCTGTTGAACACGATACCCCCAAAACTCTGCCGGCATGCAGCCCACGTGGTAACTCCCGTCCTCACCATCCTCGTATTCGACATTGTCGAAGGAGGTTTCATCTGCGCCCCATCTCAACAACAGGTCAACAGCAACTTCGACGAAAGCGGCCCTTTTGAAGAAGTCACCCATCGCTGCAGAATACAATGGTGTGCGTCCTTTAATGTTTTTCGCAAGGACATCGGCACCACTCCTGAGAAGGGCCTTCATTTCTGCGCCCCTGTGCTTCAAAGAGGCGATATGCAGGGGGGTATTGCCCATGCTGTCCCGGGCCTCAATCGCAGCACCTCCATCAACGAGGGCGTCGACCGAGTTGTGCTCTTTGTTGTAGGTCAAGGTGGCCTCGTGGAGTGGAGTGCGGTCAGACACATTTCGAGCCTCCGTGTCCGCGCCGTGTTGGAGCAGTTTCTCCACGACTTCGGAGGAACGACGAGCAGCCACGTGCAGTGCGGTGGACCCCGCGATGTCGCGAAATTGATGTCCACACCGTCGGCGAGAACTAGTTCTACGCAGGATACGTTACCCCCTTCCGCGGCCGCGTAAAGGCTACCACGGCCGTTGACCGTCAGCTTGGTGGGGTCGGCGTCATACTTCAGCAGGGCGAGGACGATTTTGAAGCACCCCCGAGCGAGAGCACGGTGAAGAGGAGTACAGCCCTCGTCATCCTCGAGGTGGGCTCCTGCATCGATGAGTGCTTCAACTACATCGACATTCTTGACAGCTGTGTGCAAGGCGGTAGCACGGTTGGAGCAGATTTCCTTGACGTTCGCTCCGTCTTGAATCAACACCTTCACCACAACTAGTCTCGAACAACAAGCAGCCAGGTACAACGGAGAGTCAGCATCTTTGCAGAGGTTAGGATTTGCGCCGCCGACCAAGATGGCGGTCACAGCAGCGCAATGGCCTTTACGTACTGCAAGGTGGAGCGGCGATTCTTTTTCGGTGTTGTAATGGTTGCCACCACCCTCGTGCCTCATGAACGCCGTGACAGCTTCCGCGTACCCTTGAGACGACGCGACATGCACAGGTGTCCAACTCTTTTGGTCCCTCGCGTCGACATTAGCATCGGCGGCGGCAAGAACATCGATGATCCCGGCGTTGTTGTAGGAGGCAGCAGCGTGCATGGCCGTACGGCCAATCTTGTCCGTAGCGTTCAAGCTCGCCCGGTGCTGGACTAAAGCTGTCACAGTCTCAGCATGGCCCCCGACCGTGGCGAGGTCCAACGCGGTCTTTCCATCCTCGCCTCCTCGAAGGTTCGGCTGTGCACCCTCGGCCAGGAGCGCATGAACGATGGCAGTGCTGCCGCTCTCAGCCGCCAGGTGGAGAGCAGAGTACTGGTTACCATTCATCTTGTTCGGGTCAGCTTCGTGCGCCAAGAGCATGGCCACTGCGTTGAATGACTCCAGCTTGGTCGCCAGGTGCAACGGTGTTTCACATGTTGCACCTCCCTGAGCGTCAACCTCAGCACCGGCTTCTACAAGGGCATCGATTACAACCGTGTCTTTGTTCGAGATAGCCAGATGCAGAGCAGTAAGGTCCGCCTTCTCATCCTTACCAGCACGAAGGTTTGGATGAGCACTCGCAGCTAGGAGTGAATATACCATGGCAACGGCGCTACTCTTGGCAGCCAGGTGGAGAGCGGAGAGTAGATCACCGTTCACTCTGTTTGCATTTGCCCCGTGCCTCAACGCGGCAGCCACGGTATCGACTGAGGCAGACGGCAGACACTACCGCCAAATGTAACGGCGTGTCAACCCCGCAATCCTCCGCCCCGACGTCGGCCCCAGCCTCCACAAGTACATCGATCGCAGAAGCGTGGGCCCGATCGGCAGCGGCGTGTAACGGCATCATACCGGTAGCTCCAGCATCACTTAGGTCAACCCCGTGTTGGATCAACACGCGCATGACGTCCACATTACCGAAGTACGCTGCACGATCCATCGCCGATCGATCATCGTCGCCGAAGCGGAGGCTGAGATCCGCGTGGGCAGAAACCAGAGCTCGACAGCAGCAAGAGAACCTTGCTCAGCGGCTACATGAAGAGGCGCACGGTCCTCACTATCAAGCGCGTTGACTTCAACATCCTGGAGAAGAAGTAGCGTAAGGATGCTGTCATGACCTAGGCTGGCGGCGATATGGAGAGGAGTATCGCCGCTCTCGTCCGGCTCTCCTGGCGATGCCCCCAGCCTCAGCAGCTCCGCAACGACCGCCTCCTGACCTCGCCTCACCGCTGAGTGCACAGCAACGCCTCCTGCTCCCGCTTGGGCGAGCTGGACAACGAGATCCATCTTGCCCGCAGCCACAGCATGCTCCAACGGAGTCTGAAGCCACTCTGTCACTGCTCTATGGAGGCCCCGGCACAGATGAGGTCAAATATGGCCGCCTCTGCACCGGTCAAGATGGCCCGAAGACTCTCTGTTGAAGAAGAAGAAGAAGAGGTACTCTCAGCCATTGGTCATCAAGAGGGGAAACACTTGCTGGCATAGCGAATCAGATGAGCACAAGTCTTCTCGGGAGGAAGGACGGTCATCTCTACACGCTGTGCGCCAGCAACCCAGCAACCCCACTGCCAAGCGACTCGATATGATGCGGGGGGAGTTCTAGTGGACATCGTTGGCATGTCTCTCATTTGAAAATTCTAGGGGATAGCACGGACCATCCCCGAAGAACCGAAGAAGATCGTTGTCAAAAAGGTTGTCATTTGTCTTTTCTATAATATCATGCATGGTGGTGCATGGTCATCATAAATCGAACAAGTCGAAGAAGATGATGGGCATTGTCGTAGGTTAGTATGTGGATGTGCTACAGTAGTTGGGGTCCAACAGTATCCTGAGAGGTGCGCGAATGTGCCCAATCTCTCGGTCAGCGGTTTTACGTTGTTAATAGTACAATATCGAATGGGGTGTCTTTCTGTGTGTGCTAATATTATTCCTTAATATTGCAGGGGGGGGTTGGGATTCAAAGAACGCGATCCAGTGAGCTGCGAGCACCTCTTCTAGTGTTGGGCACCTGCCGCGATTGATACGTATTTCCTGTCTGTGAGGAAAACTAATAACAGAGAGGCAGGTGTTGGGTTTTACTAACTGCTGTGGGAGGGGATCGAAGCTCTTTAGTTTCGCAAGTTCACAGCAGACTGAAGCACAGTACCATCTGTACAGACCCTCCCATTTTCTGAACCACAAGCTGACAACCGCGAGGCAAAAAGAGCGCGCTGCAGCAACCGCTTCTGTAGAGCCCTTGCACTCTCCGTTCAAAATACAAGCGATGAAGCGAGTTTGAAAAACATGCCACGTCCAGACATATTTTGTATGCAAAGCTGGCGAAATTCGCCAACTCCACACCTGCGCTGCAGCACTTGGCTGACCCACAGGTAGGCGTCTTTCCAGCTAGCTCATAAAGCTCTGAGTTCTCTGCGTTCGATTGAGCCTCACACTTCCCGGACTCCTGACAGCCCACCTCTTCGGCTACCTTGTCCACTACCTGAATAGAGCGGAAGACAACGTGGCTGATAACTTCTCCATCTCTCGCTGAAAGCTACAAACAATCCTGCTGAACGCCTCCCTTGTCCTAAGCCCTCGCTCCTGGGATACTAAACAGAACCAGAACCAAAACCGTTGCACGAGGCTCACAACGAAGAGCAGAAAAAGAACGACACGGGGGCATGGCAGACTGTTTTCTGATACTCAGCTCCACCATGCGACCAACAACGACAACACAAAACACGTTGCCTAGACGAGACCCATATTCTAGTTACGCCAAAACAGATATCACGCCAAAACCCAGCAAAAACAAATACCAGCACACACACCGTACCCCCCGCCCCCTATGCCCACTGTTCCGATAGCCGCTTGTGCGCTGCCAGCCTATTCGCTACTCCTACGGCGGTGGCCATAGCTCCGAGCACCAGCGCGAGCAGGGCGTAGTTGAAGTTGGGGTCAAGCATGTCGTACGTCTTCGATGGCGCCACGCGAGCCCCGAAAATGTCGAGGCCCAGCGCCAAGACAAGAGAGGTAGATTCCAGCCCGGTCGGCTCGGTGAGGACTCGGTCTACGCGCTCGATAACCTTTTAAGCAGAGACGGGAGTGGCGGGCATGCGGGTGGAGATGAGGGCAAAGGTTGGGGGGGTGGGGGGGGGGGGGGGAGGGCGGGAACGGGGGAGGGCAAACGTCAAGTAGGGAAGCATTGGTCCGAAAAGGCGAGGGCTACCGTCCGATGACAAGGCCACGGCCGCCGTACAAGAGACACCCATAACCGACTCGCTAGGACACGCGCAGTAGCACGGCCTTCAGAGTCGAAGCGAATACATGAGCCCTTCCCTCACCTTGTGGTAGGAAAGGACCTGGGTTGGGACCACCGGGAGGTATGGCTGGTACTGGATAAGTTTCTCCTCCTTTTCTGTCTTGGTCGGCTCTTCTTGGGGCCTCCTCGGATCCAAAAATCTCCGGTCCAGTGACACCACCTTGTCACGAACGAAACAGCAAAATCGAAACAAAACTAAAATGGTCCTGTTGGCAGCGATGCACGAGGCACGAGAGTCCTGCGACGGTTGTTAGTGGCTGCTGCACGAGAGGCGGAACACGCAGTCTCTGACAGGATACGCAAAAAAAACGAAGGGGGACAAAATATCGCTAGACCAAGAAGCAAAGCCGTCGTCAGTCAAGAACCTCCCCGTAGTTGACCGTGTGCTTTTGAAAAATTCAGAATCTCGCGAGGGCCATACCTCCCTTACACAGAGGGAGCAAGCCAGGCAGGATAATCCAAATCAAACACGTGTCCTCAAAGTCATTCGCCTCAACCCGCATCCGCTGCACACGAATAAGAGGCATGCATGCTCTTCCATCGAGCTTTTCGCAGGCAGCGAGCGCACCTGACCGATTGCCGTCCCCACGAGAATGTTCTTCGAGGTAATGCCGTACTGGGTAAGGGTGATACCCAACGCGGTCACCGGCAGCGGGAAGATGAACGTCTTCTGGAGCACGATCGGCACTCTGGACTCGAACGACGAGAATTCCTCCTTCCACTCCGGCTGCGGCCAGGAAGCCGTTGGGAATAGAACGAGGGTTAGGATCGTGACGAGTTGGTGTGTAAGTGGGATAGGGATCAAGACGTTTGGCGTCGTGGTCTACAGGAGCACCAACGCAAGGATCTCGTAAGACACCAAAGGAGAAGTCCTTTTGCAGACAGGCCAAGCATGACACACGATTGACACAGGGAGTCGATGCTCTCGCCTTGACGATGCGGCATGCGGTTTTAACTCACACCGGCGACACGTCACACAAAACAAGGTCGCCGTAAGTCCCAGCCACAAGCGGCACGAAAACTTCGAGCACGAAATGGAAGGGTGGGCATACCCACCAACCATGCCCCATCGTTCCTGACTGCAGCAAATCCTTCCGTTCCTCTCACTCTTGACAAAACCAACGCACGCGCCACGGACAGCATCCTCAAGCTCACCCTGTTGAACGGGCTGAGGCCGTACTTGTCGATCATCCCTTCGTATAGACTCAGGGTCGACATCTCGGTGCGGTGAGACACCGCGCTCCAGTATGAGTACACCACCCAAGACTCGGACACCTGCATGTGCACTGGCTCGGCCGCACCCTGGGCGTACGCAAGCGGAACGTGTCGTAATTTAGGGTCAATGTAAACATGGGGACGGGAAGGGATACAGGCAACCGACGATCACCAAGGACGGCAGGCGTCGGTTATCAGGCAAACACTGGAATGAAAAACACAAGGTAAGACACTACATCGTTTCGGTGCGATACAAAAACAAAAATTTTCTTCGCCAAATCAATCGCGCACATAGCCTAGGTATTTCATTATTGGTGTGGCAAAACGGTTTACATATTAAGACACCACGGCTCATGACCAAAAACTATACGAGCAAAAACTAGGCTATAGATACCATTGGCCACCAGAACAAAAACAAACAAAATCTAGACAGACCCGGAGGAGTTCTCGACGATTGATTCGAGTTTGACCGACATGTTTCTTCCAACGCGTCAGCACGTCGTTCCCCCTCGGTAACGCGGTCACCTTGTGGGAGATGCGGTGGAGCACTCGGCCAGAGACGTAGTCCACTAGGGTCACCTGCAAGAGACGAAGCCGCCATTCGCTTTTTTACAAAGATAACGTACCGAGAAGAGACGGCAACATGGATGGAGGTGTACGGCTGCCGCCACCAAGCACGGCCGCTCAGCACACTGGATTGTGATTGTGAAGCAAAGAACAGCATGAACCTTTATAAAAGGGACACACCCTTCTTCAGCCCACACCCGCAGTCATCTTGTGCTCGCCCCGGTGGGCATTTGCAGGTTGACGACCCCTGTCCCCCAGGGGTAACAACCCGCATTATTTACTACGCATATTTCCATAGGTTAGGGTTGCACACCCCAGAAGCTGTCAGCCCTTACGACATCTTGTTTGACGCCAACAAACACCCACAACCGCACACAAACACATGCAAGCACTGCGGCGGCGGCAACTTCGTGAACCTGCCCTACAATAACACAAAAGATAATGAAATTGATCGAACACCCTATTTTTTATCTTGTCATCATGATCTTTGCCGCGCATGCTTCACAACCTCAGACCTACCGTGAGCTCCTGGCCTTTGCCGTTCAACTGCCCCGCATCGCCCCCGGCCCACTCTTCCGACTCCGCCTCCTCTGGGCAGAGCGTGGCGAAGGCGAACAGCCTGGGGTTGATGTACTTGATCAGCAGAGAGTCATCCCCTAGGGTGTGCGCCGGCGTCTGCACCCCATCCCTTCCGTCGGGGTATGCCGTAGCGACAACCTTAGACCTGAAAAAAATGGTGTTTCAACGGAGTCGGGGGGCATACTCATGTTCAGAGCATGCCTTAGCGGCTAGACCATCGACCAAACGTCCTCGAGAGGACGGAGCTTCGTTCCAACAGGACCGATCACCGATGGCCACTGATCATTTCCTACTTTTCGCGATGGGTGGCTCAAAGAAAAGCGTTTTCCCTAGTCTATGAGGCGATGGCGAGGGACGCGAATAAGGGGGACGATCAACATCATGCGCACCCCTTGCAGAATCATCACAGCTGTAGGTGTCTTTCTTAAGATTCTCGAGCAACCGTGGATTGTTGCGAAGCTGATCGCGCGAAGAACGTCAGTTGGGTTTTCGGCCACCAAGAAAACCCTGATTGCACTGTAATATAGGAGTGTCCGTGCCTGGGTAATTTGTTGAACCGCGTGGTTTCTAGCTCTACTCGTCTTGCCACAAACCTTGCGCACATGCTCGGAAAAAATTCTTTGAGCAAAGTGCAAGACGGAAAGGCGAGCCATTCGCGAAACACTACCAGCGCCATATTTCAGCCTTGTCGGGCAAACCATTCTCACCCCCCCCCCCCGCCCACCCTCTGTTCCAAAAAGACATGTGCGACCCTTTACCGTGTAGGGTTGAAGGGTACGGATGCCACCGTCGCCGAACCAAGCGGGCCTTCATCCTTGTCGCTATCACCCCCAGTAGCGCTTGGCACCACACTGAAGCTCTCCAGACCGGTCTCCGAAAGGCTGTGGTAGAAGAGTTGTGGCAGGAGGCCTCGGAGAGCACTCGAGGCCTCCGCTGAACGGGGCACCGCGTGAACCTGCCTGTGGCTGGAGTTGCAAGGAGGGGAGACGGGGGAGGTCGGAGGGATTAGTGTTCGGCGTGTGTTTTTGCAGTCCCAAGGACGAAAAATATTGTCCTGAACCAACTTGCTCCGGAACACACGCCACACATGTTGACCACCATAGATCAAGTAGGTCGGACAAGGCGGACCTCGAGAACACCCCCTCCAATCACGGATATGGAATGGTTGTACACCTAGTAAGGTGGGCAAAGCGAGTCCAGAGGAGAGCCAAACACCGTGAAAACAAAAGTGAAAACAAAGAACAATCGGAAACATTAATTGTAGACCACTCCGCAAAGTACTACCCCCCTAGCGTTCCCCTACCCAACCTACCTGTCGACCAGCATGATGATGTTCCGCTCCTGGCCGTCCTTCACGCCCAGGGGCACCGCAGAATCCACCTTCAGGTCCAGCTCCTCGCGGTAGGTCTCCAGGCCGGTGAGCGCGTCGAGTCCCGAAACTACGGTCTTGGCCTCCCCCACGGCGATCACGGCCACCTCGGGACTGTAGCCCAGGGCACCCTTGCTTCGTGTGGCGTGAAGGAGAACCTTGGCGCCCGAGGGCATCCAGGAGGGGCGGAATAGGGACCTGGGGACGCCGTTACGCGATTCCGCGGGGGTTACGACAGTTACATAATGCGCCGCTGATCACATGCTGCAATAATGGGACGGTTGCATGTGGATGGGGATGATGCTGCGTCGCTGATCGCATGGTGTAACAATGGGACGGTTGGCATGTGGATGGTGATGACGCGACGCTGATCGCATGGTGTAACCAAATGAGATGGTCTTGCAAGGTGCTTTCATGAATATAGTATAGTCAGCCCGCTTTCACGATTTTCATCGCCGGTCGTGAATATGATCCAACGCAAGACAAACGCGGCATGACCAAGGATGCATTCACCACGCGAGTCACGTCTACGACGTTCATGACAAGGTAGGCAATACCGGGGGGTTTTTGCCTTTGTTTTTTTTTTGCGGTAACCATGAATGGTGGTCGAGTAGATTATGTTGTGCGGGGTCAAGAACCCTCACTCCGCGCAAGGTGGATGATCGCACCACGTTGTGCTAAATCGGTCAAGCACTCTCGAGGCAGTTACACAGTGCTTACAACTGTCTCTGAAAGTGAAAGCACCAGAAAAAAAACTACTATGCCATACGCAGCTGTCATTTGTACGCAAGGAAGTAAGCACAAGATGCCGAACACCCTTAGCAGGATGCAGCGCACCCTTCATGCGACTGGCCGAATACCTCACGGCGCTTCGCGCTTGGTGATGTGAGAGCCTGGCCCGGTGAGAGCCCGGCGTGCTCCGTCCCGGCTTTGTAGGGATGCAAGGTCAACGGTCTAACGACTACGGCATGCACGACTATGAGTACCGCCCCCCCGCCCCCCCCCCTATCCCCCGGCAGAAAGATCGAACCAAAAGGCCAGAAAACCCTGCGTACCACGTAACCGAGCCGTCGGCCATGTCGAGGGCGTAGATCTTGCCGGCGGCAGTGGTGCAGACGGCCAGCTTCTTCAGCCCGAAGGCGGAGTGCGAGGCGTCGGCGGAGTCCAGCAGTTCAGACCCCGGTAGCCGGAGGCCCGTTGCGGCGTAGAGAGACCTGCCCACCAAGCTCTATACACGGCCAGAAGGTGGGGGAACAACCGTACGGAGTAGGGGGGAAGAGGCGAATCAAGGAAGAAAAGAGGGCCGAGAGAGAGATTAAAAGTTATGTATGCCGCGAAGTCTCAACTGATCATGATTCCTCAGCAACGCCAAAGCCAAAGGGTAGAAGTACAAACTATCACCGAAGAGGTAATAATTTCTAACCACGAAACCGAGTTATTTTATTTCCACGCGGATGCAAAACACAATCAAGCAACGAGAAAGAGGCGAAAAACGTACATACGAAACGAAGCAAGTGCTAAACAGCATGCACCACATTCAATGAATTCCACACATACATCCTGACGAGCTGTCATTGCAAACACGTCTGCCGCACGCTTCAGGCAGTGTTGACCTCTGTGTTGACCTCTGACCGTTGACCTCTGGCCGTTGCCGGCAAGAGAGGGGCAAATGAATATGCAGCAGTTTGGCTTAGAAGCAACCAGGCAGCACCAACAGCAACAGCAGCAACAGCAGCAACAGCAGCTGCAGCAACGTCGACGGAGAAGAAGAACGAGAAATCCAAACAAGCAATCACCGTCAGCTCTAGGCGATCAAGGCGCAGCCTCTCCCTCCAGCCCGGCACGTCGTGGTCAACCTCCTCCCCGACAGACGCGGCGAGAATAGCCAGCTCATCCTTCGACGAGTCCACGAAGACCACCTGATGCCACATCATGGTGAAGGAGAAATGGTCGGTTCATCATCAACAGTTGTTGATCGTCTCTCTGGAACACGACTGCCAATCTCTTACCACGTTGTGGAGCCTTCTCAGGTCGAGCCGCTTCGTGGCATCTACGGGTACTCCCCATTTCCTCGCACAAACTTGCGAAACCTCTGAAACGCAGCCGACATATATTGAATAACGGCGGCATGGTAGTACAAAAGGGTCTATTGTGAGCAAGCTGAAGGGGATTTGGTGTGCACCTAATGCGGTAAAAATCCACCTTTACCAGCGTTTGAACCAATCCACCCGTCGAAACATGCAGAGCACAACACACACCCGAATCTTGAGAGCAAAAAAAAAAAATGGTTCCTCGCCTGGTCTGCCGCGGCCAGCGCTTCCTCCCGTACCCACTCCACCCCACCCCTGCCCACCATCTGAGCGGAATCATCCTCGCTCACGACCAACACCCGGAACCCCTGCTCCCCGGCCTCCAAGAACGCCCCCTCGATCCGTCCCGACGCGGCTCCTCCGAGCCCGGGCGACGAGGTCTCGAAAGAGTCTACCAACGCCGCCGTGAAGTCGCCAAAGGCGGTAACTTCTGCCACGCTCACGATCACCTTGTCGACCGGGCCTGGGAGATGGCACGAAGATGCGGTTTGTGGTTGTGTTGTCACTCGGTTCTGCGTAGCGTATGCCGTTGGGCGATGGTGAATGCAATGCTGGCCAGCAGCTAGCCGGAACACCCCCACGCGATTGGTTCTCGCTGTAGGCTCATCGATGATTGGGTGGTAGCCGTCGATGAAGTCTAAGTACTGACCTATCTTCCCGACCTGGATGGCACCCGACGACGTTTCCATCACATCGAGCTACCGTTGAGTACTCTTGGCCTAAACAACGAACGTATATCACCTTCGACCTTCTCCAACCCCCGCGCCTCTCCTCCAACGACTCAGCCGAAAAAAGAATATATATATTATATAGTTTCACTAACCTCCTTGCAGCATGGACGCCGACGCCACGAAAGTCTTCCCCGACGCAGACACGCCTCCAGCAAGCGCACACCCGCCCCCCCCCGCGGCGCACGACCTCGCCTCCCTCGCGCCATCAAGGCCCGAAACGGCACAGGTCTTGTCGCCCTTGCCGCTCGACAACGACACCGCCACGGAGCCCCCGTCCCCTCGCCGGAGCTCGAGGACCCCCCCGTCGGTCCCCGCGAGCTCGGCCACTCCCGAAACGGCACCGGTTGCGCCGCGCAGGTCCGTCGGCAGGGGCGTCCGCGAGGCAAGGGGGGGGTCGGAAGCTGCGGGGAAGACGGCGAGAGAGGACCCGTCGCGGGAGACGCCTACAACGGCGAGTCCCTTCTTGTCGCCGCTGTTGCTGCTGCTGCTGCCGCCGCCGCCAGCGCCACAGCCCCCGTGGGTGTGGGCCAGCGAGACCCCTGCGGATGGATCAACGCCCATGCCACTCACCTAAGTAGGGGTGGGGTAATGTTCAGAAGAATGTGTACTGACGGGCGGCGCGAACTGTCCAAACCTATTGGACTATTTCGTGGCCACCCTTGAGTGCAGTTGAAAACGGGATCGGCATCAGTGTAGTATGCACGAGGATGGCGGTATCAGCGGGGATCGGTCATCGCTCGGATGCAAATTACATCCCCAAACGGCAGCGATTATTGTCGGTGGTTGGCCCAGCCCCGTAAAGGCAGCAAACATCTCGACCACGGCCAGTTTTCGAAGCAACGAATCAGAACAAGCCGCAGGTGACGATCCCCCTGGCACCTGTAACCTCCATACGTCGATCACATCGCACGGAATGCACTCGACGCATGCTACTCCACCCTGCATGGGCACACAAAAAAAGGACCCACCTACCTCGCGTAGTACCAGAAACGGAACAAAAGAAAAAAACAGGAGAACCGGATGGAAAGCCCAACACGCTCTCACCGTGGCAGCCTTGTAGGTAACCAGGCGCTCGGAGGGGTTGATCTCCGCCACCACGAAGGCATCAGCCTCCGACGATCCTTTCTTCTTGCTCCAGCCGCCTGCCAGCAGCCCGCCGCCGCCGCCCGCCGCCAAGCGAAGCGACGTGAACGCCACCTGGATAGACGCGAAAAAAAACAAATCATCAATTCCTCAGAGAGCCCAACGCATGACGTAAAGGGTTACTAGAGCAAGGTGCCAGCAAAGGTTTGATTCCGTGCGGGGACTCGCGGCCATCGGGAATGGCATGCTTGTTCCCACCATGGGGGTTTCGATGCCGCTATTCCACCGCGTTTCTCCGAGCAACCCCTCAAGGAAGAACGCGGTTTACGTTCGAAAACACTTTTTGACAAAATCCAACATGGTATTTTCCGCGGAGGGGGGGCGAACAGCCCCATGGACAATGAACCCCCCCCAAAATCACCGACTTGACCAACCTATCATACCCCAGCCCCAGGGACAACAACCACTTCCCCCGCCCAATACAATGGAGGTCCCTCGAAAGTGCCGCTCTGCCCGACACAGCAATGCCGGCGAAATCGCAGAACATCGACGGAAATATTCTAGTCGTCTCATTCTCTGAAAAGCGCCGGGTGACCGGCATACTAGTTAGTGCCGGTGAGTCTGGCGGGGGCACTGCAACTGCTGCGGGGACCACTGCCATACCTGAACATCAAGGCCAACCACGGCCGCCAGGTCCGGCTCCCGCGCCGGCTGGCACCACCACTGTCCGAGCACCGCCCCGGAGCTGGCCGACAGGACGTGAATACCCCCGGCGCTCAGCACCACCACGTAGCCCCCCTCCGTCGAGACCACGCCCGCCGCGCTGCTCTCCGCTGGCGGCGCCTCCGCCTCCGTCTGCTCCGTCGAGGGGGGGTCCCCCCCCCCGCGGCCGAGAAAAGTCTCCCATATCATGCTGCCGTCGGAGGGAGACCACAGGCGGACGACGCGGCCGCCGGAGGAGACCGTCGCCGTGCCCGCGTTGCTGGAGCTGTGGGTGTGGGGGGGTAGTGATGTTGCGAGGATGGTGTCCTGTGGAGAGAGGACTTGGCGCCACCCGAGGTCTCCCGTTCGGGAGTTTATGGAGGATATTGTTGACGCCTGAAGGGGGGGGGGGGAGTCTCCTGGGTGATGCAATATGGTACGTAACACTATGATATTGGGGTGAACGGTCCGACACAATATACCGATAGGTCTGTGTTGTGCGCGTGGAGAAATTGAGGGCCTAGTGTGAGCGCAATGCCGTGGCATTTCGTTGTGGTGCTAGAGGGGGAGCGGGGGCACCGGTTCCCAATGTCAGGATTCGGGTGTAGGGCGGCGTGGACAGCGGCAGCGCTACCAAAAACATGATGCCAACTTATCAAACGAGTAGCTCCCGTGACTTGGAGGCATGCGTACGCCAATCGTCCGTATTGCCAAGGTAAAAAAGTAGTCGGTGCCGCGGACCTGCCACACACGAACGTGCCGATCCCAAGTGTGCGTTACTGGAACCACTAACAAATATCTATCTACGAAGTAACTCTCAGTTTGGGCCACAATTTCGCTGGCGAGTAACTTGGTCATGGGCTGGACTGTAGAGGTGTGCACGTGTGAGGAACCAAGCACCAAAAGCAAAAACCAGTTGTGCCCCTTTGGTGTGGATGGCCGCAACTTGGTCATGGGCTCGACTGCTGTAGAGGTGAGCACGCGTAAGGCAAGCACCAATCGCGACAACACTTGCTCGCCTTTGGTGTGGATGACTGCAACTGCTGTCGACGATAAACCACATCCCCGCAACACTGGCGAACGAAAACACCCCTCGTCTCTCCACCCTTTCCCCCAAAACCTCACCTCCCCAACGACAGTGATACCACCCCGCCCGTCGAACGCCGCCGATGCGAACCGCCCAAGGTTTTGCCGGTGCCAGTCTAGCTTGCCGACCTCATCGGCGTACAGCCCCGACGCGCCTTGGGCCAGCAGGCCGGCAATGGCGACGGCTAGTGTTATCCGATACACCATCTTCCGGTGTCGACTCTTTTGCTTGGCAACCAGGTTTTGCGTTGTGGACACCTGGTGCTCGAGCACACTGGTGCTGATGAAGAGATTTGCGTCTCCTCCCACGTATTCACCCTACCGATGGAAGGGGGGGTTATTCGCGGGGAGGACGGGGGAGGGGTGGATAAGCCGCATGCCAACTGATGCTTCTGCCTCTGTGCGGGCCAGAAAACGCGCATTGAAATGGGAGACGGCCCCGGCTCGTGCACGAAAGCGCCCCACACGGCCACATGCAACCCAAAGGCGCCTCTCTCGCTCTGTGTGTCTTCCTACTTTACCAGGAAGAAGAGATATGCGGCGGAATTCATGGTTGAGCGGAACATTCAAACCGCAGCCCCTTCCAATGACAATTATTGTAGGCTCCCTCCAAGGGGGATTGTTACTTACAGCAAGACAAAATCAGCGCACTGTACTGGGGATCCAACAAAGCTCGCTGGTGCGGGTCGTGGTGAGACGGTTCGTTGTTGCCGCGCACGGCCAATAGCTCCAGAGCACCATTGCCGCAGGTTCAGATCCCAATTTACAAGAATCTCTTCGAAGCACAGCAGCGAACGTGCTGTAGGTATGTAACGCTAGGGAAGAGCACCCCGCCTACATGCTTGCCTACGACACTCATAAACTCGCTTCGGCAGTGGGGCACAAACCCAGCGACTCCCTCAGTGCCGCGTAGAAACGAACAGATCTACTGCTGTACACAACGTATATCAGCACGAGGAACAACGGCCGGCCTCATCGTCGTGTGCTGGGAACCCGAGATTGACCGGGAGTGGCAGGCACAGGCCATTATTTCCCTCGTTTTGCTTTTTTACCGGCATGAGACAGCTGGAAGGAGCCATGCACAGTACACTCGTACACACCTGAGTTTCAGCAGTCGGCGAGCGACAGACAACGCGCGCCTGCCCTATGTATGGCTAGTGCGGCGGCCTGGCCTATGATGGGGGGGGCGCAGCTAGCCAAGATAGTAGGGGGGGTGGCTGAGTGGGGATGCTGAGCAGACATGGTCCCAGTGTCCCAGCGAGTGCTTGCCGCACACCAACAGCCACAGACGCGTGCTTGCAGCAGAGAGACGATGGAGGTTGATGGAGTGGCCGAGGTGGTGGTGACGGAGAGCCAGAGGGTCTGGCGAGAAGTGAGAGCATGCCTTCAAAACGAGGACTTTGACAAGGCTGTACAGCTTTGCAACACAGGTGATGCACCCAACCGCGGCGCTCCCATCTTCTTATTGCCCCACGTTTCAGAGTACGGTAGGGCCGCTGGTACACACAAGCAAGCAGCAGTGGAGCTGCAACGGTGCCTTGCTGTCCTCTGGCGTACTATGCCCAGCTTTTAAAGTACTACGCGGTCACCTATCTATGTTGTGAAGCACACCAGTATGCTGGGTCGCCGTCGAAGGCGGCGGGCAGTAAGGATTGCATCGCGGGATGCGGCAAATGAGATCGCGGACGAGAACCGCTACAATGCCAACGAGCAGCTGCTGACATTACCACTGCTGCATAAAACAAGCGCTGTTAATTTTGACAATGGTGTGTGTGTCTGGTGCGATGACCCACAGAACACTTGTCAACACAAGCGAAGTTTTGTGCCTGTGGCGAGAGAGTGAGGCCGGGTGTGACGGGGGGTGGTGGCACAAACACGCCGCATCCCACCGCCGTCCAACCGAGTAAATGTAAGAGAGGACGTAAGGAGACTTCTTCCACCTGCAAACCGCGCACGGTTTCTTATTCTACCATAATGCCCTCTTTGCGAGTTTCAGCATCAACCACCCTGCATTCTAGGTGCATATACCGTTGAACGAAAACCAAAGTGAAACAGGAGCAGACAAGCCCTCCGTCGAGTTCCGTTCTGTCGGCGCACAAGGAAGTGTTGAAGTGTTTTCCTGGCTATCGCGCCAACAGAACGGGACTCAACGGGGTGCTTGTGTTCCAGTCGATGTCTTGCCCAACCATGAAGGTCGGAAAGCTTAACTCAACCATGTTATAAATGTTGCGCGTGTCGTCCAGCGTGAGCAAGCACGCGCGAAAACCACCCGGGCGTCAAACTCACGGCTTCGATCGCGGGCGGGGAGAGAAGTACCGCCTGCGGGCTGCTTTTCGCGCCTGCTGGCTGCCCAGGTTGTCCTTGAATCCTTGGTGCATGAGTGCGTGCAGTCTTGCTGCGTTCGTTGGGAGACCCAGAAACGATACGATGTATAGATTTCCACCCATGCGAGAAAAAAACTCGCCAACAAAGTTGTCAACAGGTGCATGTCAACAAGATTATGTCTTGTCGTCAGCGTCATGATCATTTCCACAAAATAATGCAGGCGTGCTATGTATCGATTTTTTCAACCTTGTCTTTGTGTCGCTTTTGCCTCCCGCCCCCGCCCCCCCGTCGATCGGTTTGCTCCGTTTACAGTCCGGTCGAAGAGCCCTGACGACATAGACGCCATCCGCGTCAAGTGCCTGTGCCTGATCCACCAAGACAAGTACGACAAGGTGTGAATAACCGCCGGCCAATCTCGATACAGCGCGCACCATCTTGTCGTCGGCGTCGTCGTTTGTCGTTTTGGGGTTGTGCTTGTGGCGGTAATTCAACGGGTGTTGTCTGGGGTGCTATGCCTGCACAGGAGACAAAGCTGGGTGAAGGCATGGGAGGGAGGGTGAGAGGGTTCAGCGGGAGTCTATTTGTGATAGCCGGCAAAGAGACAGAGGCAGGGAGAGAGAGGGCGACAGACACAGGGAAAAACACAACAGATGATACAGGAAGGATATAACGACAGACAAACACAGATTAGATAGACAGACAAGGTAGGCAAGCAGGCAAACAAAGAGGTAGAGCAAAAGACGCAAATAGAGACGGAGAGGCCAACTGAAACTGTTCTCCTCCCGAAGGAAACAAACGCAAACGCAAACGCACACGGCTCACGAGGGAATGCTCCAACGCCTGTTGCCGTTTTGGCTGACTCGTGTAGAATCATGCGCGCCGTACACGACACGGCGCCATTTGCAGCAACATGCTTGCTTTGCGCCCTCGGGAAAATCGAGCCGAGTTGGAACGAAATTGGGAGCGCCAGGGAGAGTGGCTGAAATTTGTGCCGGAGATGCCGCCTTTCCCAGATCAATGCATGACGCAAACTGGGCAAAGAATACAGGTGTCCATTGTTCAAGCTCCTGCCATATGTTTATACAGCACGGCAATGTAGGGTATTCTTGTTGGAAGAAATCGACGAGGGACTCCAAGTTCGCGTACCTGGACGTCCTCAGCAGAACAAGAACGGGCATCCAAGGAATACACAACACCAAAGTAACCCTCCGACCCCTAAGCAAACGCCATTATTCCTTTGTTGGAGAATTCACCATTCGGGGTGTACACCAACGGACCAGGAACAAGAAACATACCCATATTTTTGCGTTTGTCGTTGGATCCCTTGGAACCGAAAAACCGGCAAAAAACCCTGACGTTGCCATCCCTCTTTGCGGGGGGTTCCTTGTGTGTCAACAGGCCTTGCAGTCCGCGTCCGGCAAGCACAAGGCGGTGCTGTCGCCCGAGCGCGCGTACTGCCTCTTCCGCCTTGGCCGGCTCGAGGAGGCTCTGGAGGTGTCCAGGGCGGGGGAGAGCGGCGTCAGCGGCGGCGGTGACAGCAAGAGGGCGCGAGCTCTCCGGCATCTGGAGGCCCAGGTGCGGCGCGCAGATGGGGTTGGGTTACGTGCATGGTAGCTGTTCAACCTAAAGTACACGGTCGTTGAGCTGCGCGACTGAGGGTGGAAGAGAAAAGGCGGAGGAACCTCTCTCTTTGAGTGGGTTCAGTTAAAAGTCAAGACGTGGTCGTATTGTACGGGACGGCTACCAGACCCCAACGACCGCCATCCTCGTCCCCCCCCGTCTTTGCCTCACCACCGCGTGAGCATCGCCCTCTCCGCCCCTCACCTACCACACGCTTGGTCCTGTACGAACCTTCATCAGCCTCGACGCTGCTGCGCATCTCCCTTGCGCATGCCTGCTTTGATCACCCCACGTCGCCCCGTGCTGGTTGACCCTTGTGCAACGTAGCCTGGGCCGACGAAGGCGCGGAAGGCGTATCGGTCCTTCCCGGCATTGTATGATAGGGATGCGAGGTATCACGACTACGACATGCGTTTACCTGAGTATACGAACCTCCCTGCTGTATACGACGCTTTTCTTCTCCCAACATTGTGGGCCCTTCCTTATGCTAAATAGGCTTTGTACCGCCTGGGCCGGCACGGCGAAGCCGCTGAAGTGTATTGCTCCATCGCCGAGGACGAAGAGAGGAGGACCGGGGGCGGGGGGTTTCCCCCCGTATCGGTTAACGTGGCGGCGGCGTACGCGGGGGCGGGATGCGGGGAGAAGGCGCTGGGGGCGTTGTCTGTGGAGGAGGTACGTAAGCGGGGATGGGGGGGGGGGGTGTACTGTTATGTTTTGCATGCGTTAGCGGTTAGGCCATTGACCACGCGTCTTCGAGAGGACAGAGCATTGTTCCCAAACGGCCGATCACGGATGGCCAGCCGTTCCTTCCTGCTTTGCCAAAGGTGGCTCAATAGTGTCTTCCTTAGCCCATCTATCCTATCGATATCGCTTCCCGCCTTTTCAACCTGGTTCAGGGGGGATAGGGGGGGTGGGGGGGGGGGGTGTACTCATAGTCGTGCATGCCGTAGTCGTTTGACCATTGACCTCGCATCCCTACAAAGCCGGGACGGAGCACGCCGGGTTCTCACCGGACCAGGCTCTCACATCACCAAGCGCGAAGCGCCGTGAGGTATTTGGCGAGTCGCATGAAGGGTGAGCTGCATCCTGCTAAGGGTGTTCGGCATCTTGTGCTTACTTCCTTGCGTATGGATGACAGCTACGTATGACTTAATTTATTTTCTGGTGCTTTCACTTCCAGAGACAGTAGTAAGCACTGTGTAACTGCCTCGAGGAAGCTTGACCATTTTAACACAACGTGGTGCGATCATCCCCCGTTGCGCGGAGTGAGGTTTCTCGACCCCGCACAACATGATCTACTCGACCACCATTATGGTTACCGCCAAAAAAAAAAACGAGGTAAAAAAAAAAAAACGGTAACCTGGTTGCCGAGTTCACGAAGTGAATTGGCTTGTTTTACAACGTCGTTGCCAAGCGACGAAAACCCAGAACCCCGATGGCAACCACCGGGGGGGGGCGGCTTGTTTTACAACGTCGTTGCCAAGCGACGAAAACCCAACCCCGATGGCAAACACCGGGGGGGGGGAAAGGGGGGGCGTATAGACCCCCCACCGCTTTCACTGATGGTGTTGGTCTCTTCCGTACCACGTTGTTTTCGGTTCAGAGCGGGGAGTTGTTGATGGAAACCACCTGGTGATTTGATGGTTGTATCCATAAGCACGAGTTATGCCTCGGAGTGACAACGCTCAAGTATGTTTTTTCAAGTATGTTTTTGGGGCGGGCGCATCGCGCGCAGTACTTATAGTTTCAATATCTGCAACTAGGCTGTCACTCTGCAACCTCTCTGTAGGGTGTTTCGCACGGCCGCATCGTGGTGGTTGAAAAGCTTGCCACTTCTTGTCGTCTGCGCTCTCGTGTGGTTTGACCGGGCAGGCGATGGAGGAGGAAGGCGCCCCGTGGGAGCTCTTGTACAACCTCGGGACCGCGCTGGTGCAGCGACGGGGGGGTGCAGGGGACGATACGGCGGCTGCGGAGAGCTGTCTCCAACAGGCGGAGGAGGCTTGCCGAGAGGTATATTCGGACACGCCATTGTGAAAATTGATGCCGTGAAGGTTTATCCGGTTTGGCTTCTCGGGGTGCACCCGGTGGGCGTAGATCGTGGGCGGGATCAAGCCTTGGGTTTTGACGTGAGTTGTTACCGTCGAAGAGGAGAGCGTTGGTCGCGAGGATCAACCGAGCCCGGGTCGACAAGGGCGAAGCGAGTCGAGCACCGTATGAGGGCTACGGCAGCCAACAATACAATACACGTTGCTCCCGTGTAGCTCTGCTGAATTACAAAAAGTATCTCGATATATATTTTTGGTTTAGTGTTCTTGGAATGACTCTTTGAAGACAGCATTATGACCGAACGCTTTTTGTGTGTGTGTGTATTTTTGTGTGCGTTTCAACTCTATTGCACGTGCGCATGTTGGCGCTTGGTGATTGGCGGCGCGACAGTCTTTGGTAGCCTTGGGACACAGCGACGCCGAGGCTGCTGACGAGGCATCGATGGTGAGGTCTCAGCTAGCCTACGCCGCCAGCAGGGCGGGGAAGACGGCGGCCGCTGCCGAACAGCTCAATCAGGTCGTGCGATCCAGGTGCGACCGCTGCTCTGCGGTGTGTGTAGTGGTGCTGCTTGTTGTCGCAGCGGGTTTGTTGCTCGTTGTCGACAGGTCCGCTGCTCGTCGTCTTTTATCCGGTGTTGTTGTTTGTTGGTCGATGACAGCAGCGTTGTCGTTTGTTTCAAGTGGACCATTGAGAGTGAGGCAATTCGTCCTCTAAGGAATCGGTATTGCACCTTCCCGTGCTTCACGGACTATCTTCCTCGAAGGTGCATGACCCCTGCACCTCTTGACCCTGGGCATGCTGCTAAGCTGCGGTGTGCACGGCTGTGTCGCTACTCTGTCTTAGAAAATAGGAGCATATTATTTACAAAGAAAGACTTTCTGTTCTCTTTTTTTTGTTTTTCTTACTGTGCCGTTTGGTTTCGCCTCTGTCGTTTTGGTAGGCCGAGCGATCCCGCCGTTTCGCTGGTGTCGACCGCTAATCTCGCCGCATTGGGTGGCTACAAGGACCAGCAAGAGGCGCTCAAGAGGTATTTATCTCTCCGCTTTTTGTTGCTGTATTCGCCACCCTGTTTCGTTGACGGTGGATTTTCTGTGTCAGCATTAACGATCTTTTGAAGAGTCAAAGCTTAACGTCGGGGCATTCCGAGTTCCTACCTACTTCCCTTGTCCGCCCCGTGAGACGCAAAGCACCCCCCAATGGGTGTTAGCCTTGATCGTTGTCGGCCACCGTTTTGTTGTCCCAGTCTGCTTGTTGTTTGTTGTTGTTGTTGTTCCTGTCGCTACTGTTGCTTTTTCACCCTGTTGTTGGCCATTAATCCAGCACATCGCCATCGAACGGGCCGGCCTCTGCACGAGACCTTTACCAGGGGACCTGCGGATGGACCTCGTGACCCCCCCCCCCTCCCCTCTCTCCGACTCTTTGTGCTGCTGATTGTGTCCGGTTCAGGTTGAAGGCTGCGATGTCGGAAAAGTCCGAAAAGGGTCTCCTAAGCAAACAGCTGGAGGCGTGCAGGTTCAACAAGTGTCTGCTGCTGCTGCAGTGCGGCAAGGTGCGTCGAGAGTTCTCACCCCGCTCGTGGCCGTTTCGTGCCCCGGATGTTGTTGTCCACGCTTGTCTCGGACCGAAAAACGAGCTACGTGTTGGTGTGTGGCCGCACGTTTATTACTTGGCGCTGAAGTGCTGGAGCTCGGCCGTACTTTTGTGTTTCCTTCCTCCCTGTGTTGGTAGGTATTTTGTAGATACGATGATGCGTGGTTCGGAGGTGGAGCCCCCTGCTTGTAGGTGGTAGGTGATGATGCAGCTACAGCGGTGGTGGGGAGGACGGGGGACCTTTTTGATTGCGTCTGGATGTTTGGTTTTGGCACCCGGGGCTGGAGTTGCTCGGTTCTCTCTCTACAGGGTAATACTCAAATACTGAAATATTCAAAAGAGAAAGAGGGGGCGGGGGAGAGAGAGAGGGGGGGGAACGCGCTCTCTCTTCGAGAACAGCAACAGCAGCAGCAACAACAGCAACAGCTCTAGTCTTCAGGGAAGTGAAGCGTACCTGACAGCAGTGGGAGGACGCCACCGGCTCTCTCTGATGCAGTACCTACGACATCCCCCGTTGCCGCGAAACCTCTCCGCGGGAAGCAAGATTGCACTTGAACCACTTCATATCTGCACATGTTGTGTTTTTTTGTGCTTCGTCTCGTCCCTGTGGGTGTTGGTTCAGACGGAGGAATGCCGCGATGAGCTGGAGGCTGTCAGGTCCGCTTACCCCAACAGCGACCTGGGGCCTCGCATCGAGGCTGCGCTTCTGAGCAAGCGAGGTATGAGCAAGTCTGTCGTGTGTGTGCAAATGATGTGGCTACCTGTTGTGTAGGCCGATGTTGCCTGTGATTATGGTTTCGCGGCGAGCCCGCCCGCAGCACTGATTTCAGAAGCCATGCATGCAATCAAGGAAGACTACCCGTCCCCAATACTATCACCGTTGTAATCTAAAGGGGATGTGTTGAAATGTTTGCAGTGTGTTCCCGTCATGTGTCCCTTTGTGTTACTGCGATTCAAGAACATGGCGTTTCAGGTTGCACGCTTTCGGTCGGTAAGCCACCCTGCTCGTTGTTCATTTCGTTTCGACGGACGTCATCCTTGCCCGTGTTCGGTTGAGGTGTTTGTGCGAACTCTTGCGCTGAGTACTTGTATCGACCTTAGCTTACGCAGGTTGTCGCTGTCCGTTTCGCTCCCTCCGCTCTTGTTGGTTTCAGGAAAAGGAGGCGAAGCCTCGAGCGTGTTGAAAGCCCACCTCGCAAAAGCGAAGCCCGGGTCGAAAGAGGAGGTGTCTCTCAAGCTCTGCGTTGCCCAGGTACACTACCCTCCACAAGCGTCCAACAACTTTACTTGATTAGCCCGCCTTTTTTTTTGTGTACCGTTGTCTGTATGCCCTTTCATTGTACCTTGTTTTTTGTTTGCCCTTCGATGTACCCTCTTTTTTTCTTGTCCTTCGGTATACCTTCTTTCGGTAGGTTTTTGTTGCTCCTTTTACATGTGCTCCTCGTCACTAGGCCCGCTCTGTACGAGCGTTGGTACCTACGAATAGATCGCGCCGGGCAAGGGTGACTCTGAACGCTTGACGTGGCTTGATTCCATGTGGACGAGGGATGCGTGCACTGTCCGGGGGGGGTGTTTTTCTTGTGTTCGTTTGAGCTAAGCTATATAAAGATGGAGAAATGCGATGACCGCAGCAGCTGCCCCATTCTGAGCAGTAGGCCAAACCCCACCGCCCTCTGTCTCCGCCCGTTTAGCCTGTACGAGGTTGCCGTATATTTATTGCTTCGAAGTGTCCTTGACAATGTATGAACGACGCGAGGTCAAAGGTCTCACACCTGTGGCATGCGTTTACATGTATTGTACCCCTCGTCACGTACTCGCGGTGCCCCCATGTTTCCCTTCGCCCTGCGGGCAGCTGTACGCCACGGAGAACGACTTGACCCTTGCTGCAGAGACCCTGGAAGGAGTGGGGGGAGCCGTGAGTGGAACTCCAGCGGCGGCGTCGGCGCTCGCCGGGCTGTACTTGGGGATGGGGGACACGGAGAAGGCGGCCGCTGTAGTAGTGCGGGCTGCCGAGGCGGCTAGCCGAGGGGACCATGTGAGTTCGTGGAACAGGGTAGTAGTGGTATCGGGGTTTCGTGTGTGATTGTGCGCGTTGTGTGTAACAGGAGGTGTTGGGTGTGATGTAGGCGAGGACGCGTTTTGAGAGCGAGCACAGGAAGACCCCTGGAACCGAAACACTAGGTTGATGCATACCACAATGCTCCCTCATGTTTTTTTTTTTTTCCGCCGCGGCTCCGTGGTTGGGGGATGTCATGGAGATGTCCCCTCAGTTCCTTGCTTCAGGGATGCATTCCTCTCGAATCAGCAGCACAGTTCATGTCGTCTACACTGTGTTGTTGTTTTCCATCCGCCGCGCTGCTGCTTCGAGCGCGCGCGTGTGTATAGTGTCAGTTATTCTGGCGGCAGTCTACAAGTGTCTCAGTGAAAACGTAGGAAGTTTACAGAGGAACCTTTTTTTGCTTTTGGTCTTACTTAAACTGTCATTGCCTTGCATCCACCGCGCTGATGCTATTTTTTCTCGCGTACTCTTCATTACTTGCCGTTTTGTGCATCGACAGGACCTCGAGGGGGACGAGCAGGCGAGGGCCTTGCTTGGCATGGCGGACTGGCTGCACGACCAGGGGTTCCACCGCCAAGCCGCAGACACGTACCAGAAGGTGACGAACTGCGGAGCCCCCGCGCTGCCTCCCCTCTCCCCGCCGATGTTGTGGATGGGTAGAATGATGCCCAAGTTTTCTCGATTTTTTTTTTTTTCTCGCTTGTTTCGACGTCGTGACCCTTCGACCGGTGAGCCGGCGCAACGCTGCTGTTTTGCCATAGCACACCCCTGGAGTGTTTTTCAAAGCTCGATTTCTCTATACAAACATGTGTACAGCGGAAGGAGCGGCGGTGCCGAAAGCTTCTAGAGCTTTCCGAAAACGCGTCGTTTGGCTTGAGGTGGGCGTAGGGCTTTTCCTCTTTGTCGATTCTCGGTGGTCCATTGGTGGCCCTTTCGGCGTTAACGGTGATTGGAAGAACCAACATATCGCGAGGGTTGGGGATATCGGGTAGGGACATGAGGGCTGGTGGCGTTCTAGAGCCAGCGGGGAAGTTCCCGGATCCGTACGCCTTTTGCTGGGCCCCCACCTCCGGCACCGCGTCGCTGCGTGGCCCCCCTTGTCCGGCTGGGCATGTTCGAGCGGGGCACGTGCGCGCAGCAGAAATACACACGGGTCACCACCCAAACATTCTGATCGTGTTCTGTTTTCTCTGCTTTTCCTTGCACCGGAAATTTTAGTTATTGCCTGCAACTTGATGGACGACCCCGATAAGTTGATGCTCCTGTGTTTCGCTTTAACACGTCTTCTCTTGTCGTTCTCTCCGTTATGATTACCTCTGTGTTGATTTAGCTGCTGCGGCTGGGAGCAGAGCTTGACGGAGATCTAAGGATACAAGCTCAGGCCTCCTTGGTGATCGCATAGTGAGTCGACTTGCCGGTTTCAGCTGTCGGTTAGCCTCCTCGTCTCCGCGCTACTATAAGTTTGTGCGGCTGCTGCAGGCACGCGGAAACCAGATGCTTTGTATCTGGCCACTGCTGTTGTTGCTTTCAACCAAGGCTGTCTCACTGCTTTTGATTTCGTCTGTAGTTTTTGTGTTCTTGTCTTGGCTTCAAATCAGCGCTCGCAATAGGGTGCAGGTCTTATTTTGGTGGTCTGGCTTGTGCTTTTGCACTGGTTGCCGCACAGCCTTGCTCTGGTCACATTCCCCAAGTCTGTGGCTTGTGCCTTGCAGTGCGAGTGAACTTTTGTACAGCCTGTTGCACCGCGTTGCGCTGGTCACAACACAAACCCCGTACCTGGTAGTCAGGTTCTCCAACTAAGTTCTGCATACGGCTGTGCGTTTGTCGCTGCTTCTTGCTCCTGTTGCCTGTATCCGACCGAACGTAGATAACAGTATATTATAGTTTTTTTAGTCAATCGTACCGTTTCTGGCTTGCACTTATAACGACTACACGGCCTCCATCTCGACGAAAAATTTGCAGTTCGTACTTCGACAGCGGCAAGTCGGAGGAGGAGGCCAGCAAGCTGCCCTACAACGCTGACTTTGGTTCGATAGAGGGCTTAGACCCGCTTGCATTGGAGATGACCGAGCTGCCCCGCTCCAGCAAGGTGAGGCATCGCTTTTTTTTTTTTTTAGCCCACCCCTATTTTTTTTGGGTAGGTGGGTTTCCTCGTTGGGAGACGGAGGGGGGCGGACGCGTGTGCTTGATCGGCGTTGAAAGGGGGCTCGACATGTAGTAAAGGTTTGGTAAGTACTGCTCTGCCGGGCACGCATTATGTGGCGAGTCGCTGGGACGGCGAGGGGTGTCGAGGGGGGAAGAGACTTTCTCGTTTCTGTGAAGCTTTCTTGTCCTCGAGAGTGTTTTTTTTTTTCCCTTGTCGCCACTGTTTGCACACGGAGGCTCTGTACCCAAGGGCGATATCTCTGTATTGAGTAACCCCTACACCTGTGGCAAACCCTTTTGATGCCCTCCTTGCTTTTGGTTGATATCCGGCGCCCCCACTTGCATTGCAGGCCCGGAAGCTTGTGCTTGTGGACAAGGCGTCGCAGAAGGCCGAGCGGCGACAGAACAAGCGGGACCCGGAGGCTATCCTCAAAAAGAGGGCCAAGAAGCGTGCCAAGTACATCGCCAAGCTCGTGGAGGACGGTCAGTTGTGGTTGTGGTGGTGATGGTGGAGGTGGTGGTGATGTTGTTGTTGTTGTTGTTGTTGTTGTTGTTGCTGGTGTTGCTGGTGTTGTTCGTAATGTTGTTTTTGCTATTGATGGTGGTGGTGGTTTTGGTGATGATGGTGGTGTTGCTGCTGCTGTTGTTGTTGTTGTTGTTGTTGTTGCTGGTGTTGCTGGTGTTGTTCGTAATGTGTTTGCTATTGATGGTGGTGGTGGTTTTGGTGATGATGGTGGTGTTGCTGTTGTTGCTGGTGGTGGTGTTGTTGGTATCTGCATAGTGACTATGACGCCCCCCCGTCGGTGACCGCCAGTTCCGGGGATCTGTTACAATGCCATCGCTCCCTCCCTTGTCCGCTTCTCCACCAACAGGAACGATTCCCCGCGTGCTCTCTGGTTTTCATCAGCGTACACCCTCCCCAAGAGAAACGATCACAAACTGCTGCTTTCGGTCCAAAGAACATGATTGGAGGCATTGTTGGTATTGGATTGGTTGCATGACGTTTTCGTGGCCACAGACCGCGTCTTTGCTAGATTTTGAGACTATCAACTGACACGAGTTTAATGTGAAGACAACAACAATGACAACAATGACGTTGTTGGTGTTGCTTTTTTTCTTGCAAAGGCAAAAAAAATCCATCTCTCCCACAGACAAGAGCCCGTCAAAGATTATCAATGAACTCACGGTGTTGTATGATAGAGGTCTATTTACACTCTGTTAGGGACTCTTTAGGTCTAACCGATGTTGCACTTTGCAAGGTTAGGTTCCTCACGCGAGCAAGGCTAGGTTCCTTACCCTAACCCTGACCCCCCTCACCTTCGCCCGAGGCCAAAGCACGGCCTAGCGGCCGCGAACTGGCCGAGAACGCGGCTGCGCCGCGTTCTCGGAATGCGGAACGGCGAGAGGGCGCTGGAAAGGGTCAAGACTAGGAACCAACGCCGGACCAATCAGAGGGCGTGAAACCGATAGGAAGAGTCACTAACAGGGTGCAAAAATTACTGGTATGATGACCAACCTGAATTTTATTTTATTTTTTTTGCGCGACAGGCAAGATCGATCCCACCAAGCCGGTTCCCAAGCCCGATCCCGAGAGATGGATTCCGCGATCACACCGGGCCTACGGCAAGCGAGGACGAAAGCGCAATAAGTTTGTCGGAGCACAGGTATCTACGAGATCTACTACGGCTATGCTTCCTTCCCCCCAATGACTGTGCCGTTTTATTGTCGTTGGGACCCGAGCGACTCCTCCAATATTATTAAGATCGTTGTTGGTTCGCACGACTATGCTTTCCCCCTGTGGCTGTGCTGCTCTTTTCGTTTTTATTGTCGCCGAAACCCAACTGCTTCCTGCAGCAAGATGGGGATCGTTTTTGGTCGGCCGTCCCCTTACCATGCTTTCTCGAATATGATTTTCGCGTCAGGGGTCCGGGGATGGCGCCGCGAAGGACACCGCGAAGCTCGACGCTCTCGCCAGAGCTCAGGCGAAGCAAGCGGCGAGTGAAAAGGTACGCAAGGGCGATCTACGGTATATCGGAACTGGATGTCGGCCATGCAGGCGGCGGCGGCGGCGGCGGCGGCGGCGGCGGTTTTTTCGTACTGATCTTGTCGGACGTGACGGGCGATTCTGTTTTGTGTCTTGTCTCCGGCTCGTGCGCTCTCCGGCGAGAGAGGGGAATTTTGTTTCTGTTACATGAAGCTCCAATCCCCATCCTTGTTGCTTCGGTTTGCCTGGCTGGTGACGAAGAAGTACCGCGGTGTGAAGCAAGTCCAGGCTGCAGGTCTAGCACAGCTCTAGGTCCCACGACCCCGGTGCTTGGTATCCTACAATGTTGCGCTACATTTTAGGTCCTACCCGCTCCTGCGACATGACGCCTCGTAAGCCTTACATCCTATTTGTTTTGTTTTGTTCATTGATTATTTTTGTCCTGACGCGTGCATGCACCGTGATTGTGTATTCCTCGGCTAGCAGGCGGCCGTTCTTCCACCTGGAGTCGCGATCGGAAAGAGGGGAGGCAAGAGGCGTTGATGCGGGGGGCGGGGGGGGAGGGGGGCGCCGGTTTTGGACTCGTGGCTTGCCGCATGCCTCCTGCTTTGCGCAACGCGGTGCAGTCGCGTTCCTGCTGTGCGTCGAAACGTTCCGACGCCTTTCGAAAGCTTTCTCGACAGTGCTGGACATTTGCTAAATGCTGCAGCGCTCACCTTCACGACCCTTTTGACACGGTTGACCGCTGCTGCGGCGGGACGGTACGCCTACTAAGATGGTGGTCAAGGTCGATGGTTGCCTTGCGCTGAGACGCAGCAGGAGGAGATGGGAGTAACCGTCCTGGTTGGATCTGGTATCCAGGGAGAATTCTAGTAAGACTGTGGTGAAACCATTCGCGAAACTATTTCTTTTGTCGTGGTGTGGTTGGTGTGCACGGGGTGCATCGGGGCCAACAGCGCTATATTCCGAAACGTTTCGGGAGGTTTTGGGGTCACTTGTTGTGTTCTGCTGTTGGTGGCACTATGGAGAAGGGTGTAAGCCATGCCCTCTACAGTCCTTTTTTCGTCGAAGGAATCCGTTTTTTGTCAATCACGACACCGAACCAACACCCAGATAGACTAAATACAGTGGCGGGTTAGCCCCAAAGAGGAGCAAACAAGAACCAAGCCAGGGGCACAATTTGGCTATGCAAGGCACACCGCGGCCAGCCTCCAATGAGCGTGGTCGTGGCGCGACGTTGAGGGTAATGTAGGCGACCTAGCTAGGCGCTTCATACCTAGGAGTACTCACGCAAGGATACCAGCACCAAACATTCGGATTTTCTTTGAACGATCAAGCCCGTACGTCATTTTCCTGCTTCCTTGTTCTCAACGAAAGTCCTTGGAATCCCGTGGAATAGCAACCGTCCCCAACCGGAATCACTGCCTTCCATGAAATGGTGCAGACTCAGCCTTGGAAAGCATGGGCGCAATAAGTGATAATGAGACCAGGTTGTCACGGCCGAAGCCTCTGCCACGACGGAGCCCATGTTGTGTTTCCCGATTGGTGAGGTAGGTGTAGGTCTTGTTGAAACCTTGTCATAGCAATGAACTTTCGCCATTGCCTAACGAAGTCCACTGACAGAAAGCGTACGGCCAGGAAACCTTCAGTATCGTCGACGGACGGCTTCATTTGGAATGAACGTGGCTTCACTTGGTTCACGGTCACAATTGGCGTTCCCACGATGAAAAGCCAACAACAGCGGCATCGTGTGTCTACAATTGATCAAGGATCCATGTTGACGGATTCAACGTGCTCGACGATCTGTAAGAATCATCCTGCATTTCATTTGGATGCCATCATGATAGTTAAAGAGCGTTCTGTGTTTGTGTCGATGGTGGCACTTCGTATCTCGACGTAAACCCCGGAGTTTCACAGTGTAGCCCTCCGGACCATAGCTGCGTAATAGTGGTACGACATCCAGCTGTTTTCCGCGCTGGCCGTTTCCCTTCCTCATAGTCTATTCCTTCATGTGGCACAGAAGTGAGTCGTTCACATTTCGCACCACGGATTAGACTCCGTCGGCCACCTCATGTCGACCCCATTCGGGTCGAGACAGACAGCCGTGCCAAACAGCACCACCAGGACCTGCAAAAGTAGCACGCAATTGAAATTGTCATATTGACTGCCGTGGCGGTGCCCTTCACTTTCGCCTGTCCGGGGCAAACAGCCTCCGCCTCCGTGTTGATCGGACGAGTTTTCTTGGAAGGTAAACATATCCTAACAGAAAGACTACCCGTTCGAGATATAAACCCAGTCGAAAGGGATGTGTTGAAGTCTTTTCGTTCACTCTACAAAAGGGGGAAACGATGGTAGACGAAGGCCAACAATGAAGGGATACAGATGTCTTGCTTTGCCATGGTCGTGAGGCGAGACGGGACGCATGTGGTCCTATCCTACGGTTGCGTGACTGTCAACTACCACAGCGAGACTATTTGCACCTGCTCGCGAACAAATCTAGAATACCGTGTCAACAGAGAGAGGACGCAATATAAAGCACTACCTGGTACTGCAATAATCGCAACAAAGACGGACACCCGGCTGCTTGGCAGTGTACGGGCCAGACACCGTCAAGAAAGTTAGGCTCGAATTTTCACGAACACAACATAAATTATTACTGTACGTTAAAGGATAGACCTAAATGCTTTCCCATGGGTACGAAACTACTTCCAAGTATATAGCAGAATACATTGGAGGCGCGTCCTTCACTACATGATACCATGTACATTACAGTACCTAACCTGTTCTCAGCAGCGGCGAGGTATAAGAGACTAAGCCTTGACCACACCTTGACATTTCTTTGCTGCGGGTCCGTACCACCGTAGCGGTGCGTACGTGCGTACGCCCGCAGACAAGAGACGGCGAGAAACACTTCAGACCGCGGGCCCCCCTCCCGTACGCCAAACCTCAATAGCCTAGAAAACGAAATAAAAACTGGTTACACATATATCTCGAACGCGTCTTTTTCTCTGTATTTTCTCTGCATTTTCTTACAAAAAAAAATGAACTCAGAGCGCGAGAATCTCAGTCGTGCGACCACGATGTTCTTCGCCAGTTACAGCGTTCGGCCGGCACCGTGAAAATTTCCTCCAGCTCGTGGTCGTCGGTGTGCCCCTGGAAGCCGGCTTCTCTCTTCCAATGGCCGTTGGCGAAGAGGTAGCGATGGCGCGGAGCCGGCTCCTTCTTAGCGTTGCACTGATGGCAGAGGTCGTAGTCCGGGCACGCCAGGCAGTGGTACCGGGGACCCGTGAAGTCTTGCGTGCCGCTGGAATAGAAGAGGATCCGCGACATATTGTGGGCACGGATAGGGTTGGGATGGATCACGTGCAGAAGCGGCCTCTTGGTTGGTTCCCTATTGGCCCGTTCGAGACTGGTCGGGTAGGATTGAATCGACAACTCCAGGTGCGGCGAGATTAATACCAACGCAGATTCGACGTCCTGAGTCAACTACTTCTGCGCCCACACAATGTGGATTGGCCTTGAATTGGGCAACATACATGGGTGGTGGAAGAGGGACGGACTAAGGTTGTCGTCTAACGAAAAGCGCAAGCGCTAAATTACGCGGGGCGGATAAGGAGAGCTTCCACATCTATATTCGCACGAGGAAAAAAAAGTAGCGACGCTCACCAAGAGTCGCAAATGAAGGCGAGCTGTCTTCCTTGAGCGATGTACTCCAACGTTTCCCTTGGGTTCACGTGCCGCTGTTGGTCGTATGCGATACGAGTCCGGAACCCCTGGTACCCTAGAGATTCGCAAATCTCTACCACTTCCGCCATCTACGTTTGGTTCGGTTTCGGCGGCAATAGAGGGGGGAAGAGTGTGCGAACGGTTTATCTCTCTTGCATGCATCAACGTCCCCCATTGAAGGAGAACCTTCTTCATGGACCACACTCCGATGCAAAAGAACGTGCGAATGGATGCAGTCCGCCCGCCGAACGTGGTTGGGTTTGAGTCACACGGCCAAAACATCTCCATCACGTGCAAAAGCAGTAGCCTCCTCCTCCCGGCGCTTGCACGGCGGCGGCACCCGGTACCCGTGAGCGGCGCACACAAAAACGCCGCAGAATCCGACGACGCGACGCCGGCAGCAGCACCACTCCCACGTACAAAAACCACAAACTGCCGCGGCCATTAAGAACAGCCAGGAGCACGGAGTTGTGGAGCATACCCACAAACATTACCAGCCAAACAAATCAGAGATGATATAACTACAATACTCACCTTTATGAGATGCACGCGCCCTAGCGGCCCCTCCCCCCTCAGCAGCATGTTCATCTCCTCCACCAGCCCCTCGACGGCCGCGTTGTACGTCCGCCTCACGGCGGGACGGTCCCCGGCGCGGAAGAAGCAGATCGACGTGCCGGAGGATAGCCCGGCCCGCTCCAGGGTCACCCCGACGTCGCCGCCGCCTTGCTCTCGTTGCCCGGCCGCCGCCGCCGCCGCCGCTGCCGCTGCCGCTGCCGCTGCCGCCACGGCGGCGACACCTCCTCCCGGACTCGGGTTCAGTCCTCCTGGCGAGGTTGACGGGGGAGGGCACGCGAAGAAGCGCTCGTTCTGGGAGGCACCACCCCTGACGGCGGCGGTGCTTCCTCCCGACGGCTCCGCCGTCTCCGCGTTGTATATCTCCGGGTCGGTAGCCACTACCGCGCTCTGCCAGACCCAGGGCAGATCCTCGACGTACGCCTCGAGGTCTTGTGGTGCCAGGGCCGTGTCGTGCTCGGCCGCCGCCAGCTCGAAGAGGCTTCGCAAGGGGCTGGATGCCCGGAGGGCAGCGTGCGTGAGATACTTGGGGGTGGGCGGCGAGGCCGCCACCCCGCCGCCGCAGCCGTTGGAGTCACCGCCCCTCCATGTCCCCGCCGCTGATTGTGATTCTTCGTTGCCCAGCCCTAGAGTCTTGACGAAAACTAGGATGCGCTCTTCTGGCGGAATTCTTTGTCCGTCCCCGCTTGCGCCATCGGCTGCTGCGCCATCCTCGTCACCGGCATCATCACCCTCGGAAGCCGGTGAGCCGGCGGTAGGCGGCGCGCTTTCGTCGCTAGCCGACTCCCAGGCCAACGTCGACTGCTGATGAAACGGGTAAACGTCCGCCGTTCGGGAAAGCCTCACGCCGGCGTAGTTGTCCTCGGGGTCCGGTTGCGTCGAGGGCGACGACGACACCCAAGATCCATCGGTATCTCCTGCGCCGCTGCCGCCATCACCGCTCCATCTACTGCCGTCGGACGATGGCTCGAGGGGCGCCCCCGTCTTCTCCTTTTGCCGCTGCTGCTGCCGTCGTCGCAGCCAGACGCGCGAGAGACGGGTCGCGTCCCTCCCCCCCTCCGTCTCCCAGAACCCCCCGTCGCCCCGCTGCTCTACCCAGAGACGCACCCTGCACGTCTCGTCCACGGCGTCACCGCTAAGAAGCCGGAACAGGCTTGGCGAGTTCTGGCCGTCGTCTAAGAATCGCGCCGGCAAGCCTTTCCCGCTGAGCACCGACGAGAATTAGGCCAGGAGGGGGAATCAGGCAGGGAGGGGGCACCGCGGAGAATCAGGGAGGGAGGGGTATCCGTGAGCGAGTTGGGTGAGGTCCTCGTTCGATACTCGTCTCGCCCTTCCTCTGCGTGCCGGGACGACGTCAAAGCACCGCTTACAATTCGCCCGTACCATACAAACAAGCTTCAAGAGTTTGGTTCTGTGCTGGGCCGTGCCTGCTGCATGACCCGCCGGTTTTGGGTGAGGGCGGGGGATTCACCGGCACGATTCATACGTCGCACTTCCCGAGAGAGAGGGAGGGGCAGAGCGACCGTGCCGGGCGACCGTGCGGGGGGGGGGGGGCTTACACCGCTAACCGGTGACGCTGCTTCGTGAGGAAAGAGCCCCGCGCGTGCCTTGAAAACCATCGGCGCTACTGCCGATCATCGACCCCGTGGCATCGGCCAAAGAAAGCTGCAAGCGTGTGTGCGAAACTTCCCGCGCGATACCTAACACTTTTAAAGTTTCACAGTAGAAAACCATATATATTCCTTTGCGCAAGGCGTTAACCGAAAGGTCCCCAATGCCCACCCCAACTGAAAATGACGCATGCATAACCGCATATCGCACCTGAGCAGCTGTCGCGGCGCCAGCGGGCCGTCCGTGAACGGCTGCGAGATCACCCAGAGCCGGATCCCCTCCCGCTCCACTCCGAGCGTCCGCGCGATTAACCCCTCCACCTCCTCGAGGGTGGTGCACCGGAGAACCTCGAACGTGATGCACGGCAAGGGACCGCCGCCCTTTGCGGGCGTGCTGGTGTTGCGTTTCTTCCCTCCAGGAGAAGAACGCCCGTCAGAACCGGTGGCCGCGGCGGGGGGGGTGTCCCGAGGATGGTTTCGGGAAGTTTCTGATAGGGAGACAGGGGTTGGGGCAGAGGCAGAATGCCACAACGGAGAGTTTGTGAGTTCACTGATAATGATGTATGCAGCGGAACGATGAGCTGTCTCAAGAGAGGGGTCAGCCAAACCCCTTGGCACTACCACGCCGCCTTTAAACAGGGACCACCCATCTACGGTAACGCAACACGTTCGAAGAGCCGAACCACCGGCGGTAAAGACCAACCCCACAAAAAAAAACAAGGCATGCCCAAACATATTATGCACGTAAGAGCGTGCGACGCACCTTGCTCTTCCTCCTGCTCGGTCCCATCGTTGCCGTAGAAGTGAAACCGTCGGTCCCTACCGCGAACCGGAACAACCCCGAACCCGCGGTGGGAAGCGAGGTCGGCCGTGGTGTAGACGTGCAGGAAGAGGAAAAGAAGCCGGGCGCGAAGCCGCACCGTGAGCCTGCCGTCCTTCACGAACCCTTGCTCCGGGTCCTGAGACATGTCGCGAGAGAATCGCGGGCTGAGGGTTGAGACCGAGTCTACGGGGTGGGGGGGGGTAGGCGTTGTACGATGCTGAGCTCCTACAATGCTGCTTGTTGGTGAAGAAGCGCACCCAGGCATGCAACGAAGATTGCGAGCGCTTGCATACGACCCCGGCCTTGCCGCGCCGACAATCTCAAAGCAGGACCCAGTGGTACTGCATGGGACACCAGCTACAGTGACAGAGCCCGTCCGACAACGGTACCAAGTCGCCACCTTACCGCCCACGCACCTGCACCTTGCCCATCGGGATCAGGCAGTGCACCCCCCAGCTGCGCCTGCCCAGCCAGAACCTGTCCCCCTCCATCGACGACACCCACACCACGCCCTTGTCCCCCGCGGTTTTCACCGCCGCCAGGGAGAAAGCGGTGCAGCACTCGCGCGCGATGGCCGCGGGGTCCCCCGCGTGCGAAACGATGGCCGCCCTGCCCTCGCGGGTCCGCGCGCGCCGCCTCCTGCGACGCAACCCGTGCGGATCGCTCTTGGCCTCCGCTCGCGCCCCCCCTGCCTCCTCGGCTCCCCACGGTTGGCCGACCAACAGGTGCTGCGGAGGGGGCGGAAATCCCTCGAAGGACGCCCCGCCGGCCACTCCCCCTACCCCCCAGGGAGGAGTGCCCGGGGCGTCGTCGTGGAAGGCCACAGTGAGGTAGACGGACAGGCCCTTCTCGACGGGAGGCGCGCCGGCCGCCTCCGCCTGGCTGGCAGCGCGGGGGTTGCCGGTCGGGTCGGCGAGGAGCATGAAGAGGTAGCCGCACAGGGAGAACGGGGGGAAGTACCTCCGCTCCGACTGTAAAAGCAAGAGCCGCCGCGCGCCGCCGGTGTGCGAGAAACATGGAAGGCGAGGAAGGGGGGGAGGGGGGGGGGGTAGCAGGGGTTTGTGGTGGCAGCACCTATGTGCGTACCTCGTGTGTGTTTCGAGTGTACGCCAGAGTACATACAAGACAAACACTTGCAACAACGGGCGGGGGCAGGGGGTTGTGCAAGGGACGACGTAGGCTTTCGCCGGGCCAAAGTCGGAGGGAGAGAGTCAACGACCGAAACGTGTGGTCACCACGGGAGACGAAAGGTCAGAGGTCCGCGGACTTCACGGCGCAAGTACAACACAACGACGAGCCGCTCTACAGCGGCGGCCGGCACCACCGCGTGAATCCACCACCACAACACGGCGCAGCAGAGCAAAACACGCAGCACCACAGCACAGCGACACACACCACCGCCCATCCCTCACTCGCCTGTTCTGGGTCCCCCCCCTCCATTCCGTCAGCCCCGTCCGCGGCGCCCCCCGTTACCGCCTCCATGTTCCAGTCCAAGACCGTGGAGCGGTTACCTCGGTTGCCGTCAAGGAAGGTTTCTCGGTAGTCCCCCTCGTAGGCGCTGCAGCACGTGTACGGCGACCGGCTAAAGTAGTAGTCCCGCAGGTGGGGGAAAGCAGACATGCACGCCCGCTGGGAGGGGGGAGGGAGGCAGACCAGGTCGGACAATATAGCGGACACGTGGGTTTATTGTCTTGCATCACGGCACACAAAAAAAATCCCAGCGGGGTGGGGAGATATCGTGACTTCTCTCCATGAAGGGGTTTCTTGCTGCAGTGGAGGGGGTGGAATGTGGGAGACTCTTGTGGAAAGAACATCATTCACTCCCGGGGTCGTCGCGCATCATCCCGTCTACGATAACGCACGAGTCACGCTTATCCCCCAAACGCACGTACGGGAAAAAATAAGTCCCTGCGGCCTTGAGTCGTGGAACCCCCCGCACCAACATCAAGCCCTCGGACTCTATTGACGAGCAAAAATTCACATGTAGTTTCCGCCCCACCCTGATCGTATGCTTACGGCCGGGGTGTGATGACGCCAAGGACGCCATGTCTCCCGCTGATTTCGCTTCCGAGGAGTGGGATCGCTCCCGTGTAACACTTCCCCCCCAATTTGTAGAAAATGTACATACAACCAAAGAGATGCTGGCCTTTCGAGAAAACACCACAGTCACTCCAAGGGGAACTTTCTCAGCAGGGAGTGGGAAGAAGAGAAACCCCCCTCTTGGGGGGAAAAAAAAAAATGAATCTCGGATTACTTGGTGCGCCCCGCCCCCGGCTCACCTGCCACAAGTGTGCCCGATCGGTGGCACGCCGCCAGCAGTACGAGACGGCCTCGCAAGACAGCAGCCCGTTCCCGTCCAGAAACTGAGACCGCACCGTCGAGGTTGAAACGAAACACCGGCAAAGAAAGAAAGGTGGAGAGATGAGCCAAACAGAAGAAAAGGTCCAACACATACCCAGCAGGATACCACTACATGGGGACCTAACGGACTCGGGATATTGCGGAACGGCCAAGGGAGCAAGCTCCAGGTTCGCTGCGGCCGCTTCGCGATCGAGCTCGAGTTCGAGCGCCGAAGGGTGCCGCTTGGACCAAGAGCACCACGTCGTCCTGGTTTGGCCCCGTGAGCTGCCTAACAACCCAGGCTGCACGTGCCTCGTGACTCAAAAGGGATACAAATATGTATTTCTTGTTTTCCAACATATACTCCACACACACGAGTCGGGGATAAATCACACCAGCAACTAATTCGCTTGGCGTTTTTTAGAGGCCGCCACGTCACCCCTCAGCAGCTGTTCCGTCGCGCGTCGACTTTGCATGCAGTCTCAACGGCCTACCTACATGTTTGGCCGGTGTTGCCCTCGGTTTGGTGTTTCGGCCGTTCTGCCTGATTTGCCTAGCAAGGGTTCATCAATTGTTTCCTTCGTGTGTACTCACGGAACAAGCGCGTTCTGCGAAGCGAAGTTACTTCGACATGCGGGGGGATATCTCACCGACATTTGTTTTTCCTACAGCAGTACGACAACAGCTGCTAGGAGATGCTTGCCCGCGCCAAAAATCAACCTCATGGCCGGAACGACCCGTGTACGGAAATGACTGCCATGCGGCTGTATAGATCCAACATCGCCCCGCCGGTACATACTTCGAACGACGGTGTATTTGCCAACGGATACATACTTGTAGAGAGTGCGAGGTTAAGATTCCCTGTGAGAAGATACGCATATCTACTATTATATTATACTGTAACTATCCTGTGGTCTCCATCTGCAAATGCCGCCGGCGATGGCTGTGCATCGATTTGGGGCACGTTTTTTTTTTGCAGCCGACCCTATTTTTACTTGGGCAGGTCGATGGCCAGAGTCGTAACGTGTCTTGGGGTGGCCTGGCTTAACCGGGCCCGCGCGAGACTAGCATATCGAGGAGTGCCGGGACTGCCGGGGAGCGGGAACAAAGTTCCAAAATTGCAACTAAATCAATCACTTCGGCGGGGGCTTTGGGCAGTCGACGACGACGGCAGCTCTACTTTTTTAGTCACTCGGAACACGCACGAAGACGTTCAGCTACTCTGATCCGCTCTCTCTCTCTCTGTGTCTCTTTCAACTGCTGTCCTTCAGGGGAGAACGCGCATGAGCACACGGCCCTGCTGCGTTCAAGTAACAAGTTGTTGCCAAGAGTTGCAAACATCCCGCCGTCGCTCTTGCGGTGTACAAGATGTACAGCAGTACTGCTGTAGAATGCTCTCCGTTTGGTCGTGGTTCTATTTCTACCTCTCTCTCTGCCCGCCACATGCACACACGTGCTGCGTCTATCGTGTCCCGCTATGTAGCAAAAGCGATCCTACGCCAGGATGTGTGATCTGCCATGGTACGAAGTAGGTATATATTTTCCGCCTCTGCACACAAGTACAAACGAAGGAGGTGCACACAATCCGTAACTTGATTGTAGTTGTATCTGCAAGGCCAAACAAAATGGCCCACCAACACACCGCCGTCAAAATCTCCCGCCTTAGAAAGGAATCAGCGTCAGCCGACAGACAGATGGGAGACAAAGCCTCCGCCAACAACGCACGCACGCCCGACCATACCAGTGTTAGAGAACACGGGAGTGACATTGGACGCTGCCAAGGCGCTGCCCGCAGGGTCCACATTTTTGGTACGGTACATCGGCGGTGGAATTCCGGCACATTGTTTTCAAGAGAGAACGGCAGTAGAGTCGTTGTCATCAGGCCCACCTCAAACACCGTGTCGAGCACCTCCACAGGAACCGTCGGGGCCGGTGCTTCGGCGAAGGCCTCGCCTCCTCCGGCTCCAGGCGGCTCGCTCCTCCCGCTCGGAGCCCTCTTCCTTTGATCCATCTCTAGCCAGCGGTTGTGACCTCTCCCTGGCTCTCTCAAACCCGTTCACAAAGGACAAAGATGCGGTGTATATCTCAAAAACCGGCAAAGGGTTATCGGTTCTACGCTCTTGCTTACCGCGGCTGCTAGCGCCAGTACTCGCGCTCAGCGCGACCTACCGCCTACCGCCTACCCACGGTGCAAGGTGTTGGCAGCAGTCGGTTGTTGGTGTGCCACCCCAGTGCCCAAGAGAGCACTGAAGAGCACGCTGCGAGTAAAAAAACACCAAAATACGCACGAACGGCACAAAAGGAGAACTAGCCGCATGTGGATCGGAGTTTTCGCCTCGAGAACCAACATGAACTCCCCATCCAAGACGAAACAAGAGGGAGCGGCGGCCGTGTATTACTCCAGCTGTGTCATCACCATGGCGGAGAAAGGGACGTGTCACCTACCCCTGGCGTTCATACCTGACGGAGCCCTGGCGATTGTCTTTTCCTTTGTAGCTGTCAACGATTTGCTCTCTGCGAACAAGGTACGCATGAAATACACCAGACGCGGAGAGTCTACAATATATCGCAGTATGTTGCGTGCGCGTGTCCAGCATAGTTCTAGAGCAGTAGACGCTGCTTGCATGGCGTCAAGTATACCCCTGCAGGCGTCAGGCAGCAGCACCAGAGTCAAAAAGGCAAAGGGCCCGGGCAATGTCGTTGTTATCTTGAGTTCGGTTAGATCTTATACCAACCTTGTTGAAGTTTACGTCGCTGTTTTGGTGTTGGTGGGACTTCCCACAAGAACAACAGCTCTCAACATCCGCTCGCGCTACTTGTAGAAGCCTTAGCCTGTTGTACAAATGAATGTAAAAGGAGCATTTCCCCCCCTTTGCATGGTTCTGGGCCAATGGGCGCAAACGCCAATCGACAACCACGGGAAATGGACCGGTGGCTGCTCCATTTTCAGGAGCGTTTCGACCAATAGTCCTCCTACCTTTCCCAACCCAAACAACCATTGCACCCAAGGTGTGCCGAGATTGGGTATTGGATGGAACAAGGGTGGACCTGTGGGCTTCGCTCGGCAAGATCTTTGAAGTGGCGATGCCCGTCTCCCTAGGGCCTCAGACTAGCCAACGAGCGGCCGGTTCGACCGGAGCGACCGCAGGTGGAGGTAGAGGGAAACGCGTTTTAAGGTGCGATTTTGTGGTGCTGCAATCATGTTCACGTGTGGCTCGTGGCAGTTTGCGTTTCTAATTGAGAGCTTGTTCTGATTGCGTGACGTTGCCGTAGCCGGGTTCGGTCAAACTGGCTTGGCGATGAGTGTTTTTGTCTCTTCCGGTCCGGACACAACGCCTTGTTTTTACCCACATCCGTCGGACTTCTCTGTTTTTTTTTGCCGCTGTTCTCTGAAGATCCGGCGCTAACGCGAAGCGGACGTTCTTGAAGTCTTATGCCGCGGCGGTCAAGAGCGACAGGTGACAGAAACCAAACGCGTGCGTCGATCTGTAGATGCCACACGTCCTGCTGACCATGACCTCCTGCTGGTTATTTTACTACCACTTTTCAAAGCTCACGAGAGGTTGCCGTTGGCACTGAAACACTGCGGTCAGCGCTGCCGTTCTTTGGTATGTCCCATGGAATTCATTTAGCGCTAAGAATTTTTCCGTAGAGAGAACGGAGTCTTGCCCTGTGTTTTTTAGACCGTTCGCGGTGGCGTGCAGGGAGTGCACCTGTGCGTAATTTTCATTCGGCGTGTGTCGCCCACGCCAACTGACAAGCTGCCTGCAAAGTGACACATTCCCGAATGCCTTCGACCTTGCACTGCCGACCGTGCGCTTCTTCTGTGGGACTACCTTTGTTGAAGGCTAAAGCACGACTCGACGCTGTCGGAGGCCTACACCCTCTTCCGCATGAAAGACTCCGTGATGAGGCTGCGCACTCTGCTGCGTCGCAGGTGGGGGCTAACGTTCCACCCCTCCTCGAAGCCCGACCAAAACAAGAGGATCGAGAACTACGAAAGCAGCAGCAACAGCAGCAGCGGCGGCAGCAGCAGCAGTAGCGGGGAACTTGGCCTTTTTTTCCCCACGGCAACTGCAACGAGCAACTGCCTTTCTGGAACAGCGGCAACTCTCAAAGCCCGCACCAATGCCGGGGCTGACAAAGACAGAGCGAGGGGCACGTGGAGCGGAAAGGCGAGGTGGTCGTTCAACGTGGACCACAGGCACGGAATATTTGAGGGAAACACTCTCCTTAATTTCGCTGGTGAGTAGTATCCGAGAGGCTTGTACTACAGCATGCAGCCTGATATTGTGGCATCAAAACCTCTTGTCACAATGTCAACATGCCCATGAACCCGATATATCGAATAGTGGCACTGCACTTATTGGTGGCATGTTCTCCTGTTGCCCCTACATGCCACCATATCGGGCTGCTTGCTGTACTCGAAACTTCCGCCGCTATAGTCGGTATTTCCAAAATGATGCGAGGGACTACTGTCTAGGCGCTCTGTTGGGTGGGTTTGTAGGGCATTGGTGTCCAAGCATTTCCAGCACCGGCTATCGAGCACTGACAAGGAAAAGCGTACATATGAAGCGTTTATTTTTTAATTTATCGGTATCAAAATATAATGCTGTTGGATGGCTGAACGCACGAACGAACGCAGCTTGAGTCTTTATGAGCAAGAGCCCATACTCCTGGTTTCCGACACGCCCGATGCTTCCCATGATGATAGTACCAACGGTACCGCCTTCCTCCGGCGTTCCGTGCCCTATCTCACCGCGAGCAGTCCGCTGCGGCAGAAGGAAGTGCGTGGAGTTCATCCTGTGGCAAATGGGCGCCGACACCGAGATCGCCGACTACGGCGGTTTCACTCCCTTGCTCAACACAGGTAAGCCACGACGCCCGCCAGGCCATTTTGCAGCACTCGGTGGAGGGTATACCAGGCGCTTTGCCGCACACACGGGTTTGTACTCATAGTCGTGCATGCCGTAGTCGTTTGACCATTGACCTCGCATCCCTACAAAGCTGGGACGGAGCACGTCGGGTTCTCACCGGACCAGACGCTCACATCTGCAAGCGCGAAGCGCCGTGAGGTATTCGGCGAGTCATATGGGAGAGGATGAAAACCTCGTGTTGGGCGTGAGGCCGACCGCCTTACATGCTGCGATATTTTGTCGAGGCACTAGCGGTATGAGATCTCAGAGGACCACCTCTGCAGCGTAGTATGGCTGCAGACCACGCCATGCGTCCGGTTGCGCGTAACCCCTCTGTATCAATGCGGCCCATTGTGGACGAATTACCAACATGTTTTCAGACCGCCTACTCACCACCGCCCCCTTCTCCGTCCTTACAAGGATGCGTGGTCAATGGTCTAACAACTAGGGACATGCAAAACTTGATCTCCCCCCCCGCCCTTTCACCTGCCTTCCCGCTACAGCATGGAGAGGCGATGCCCCTCTCCTCAAGACCCTCCTCGCAGCGGGCGCTCGACTTGACGTGAAAGGCGTGTCTCGCGGGGTGGGGCCTTTCAGTCCCCTCGAATGGGCTGAACGCAAGGTTAGTAAGGACAACTTTGTGCTGCTGAGCTCTTTCAGTCTCGCTTTAACTCTTTCCCGTCACTTCCGCCGTGGTTTACGCGCGCGTGCGCTAGAGTACTGCCGGGTCACGCCCCAGCTTGAACCCCAAGGAATGCAAAACGCCATAGGAATAATGATGCATTCGAGTATTCAGGGACTGGGAGGGACGCGCCGTGGAGGTTCAGTTGGTGGTGGTCAACAGTGGTGCCATCTGTACCTTCCCAAAACCCACCAATGCACCGTCTGCGATACGTTCCCTGCAGAACCGCCCGGTGACAGCGGCTTTTCTACGGAGCCTTGAGGCACGAGAAGAAGAGGGGGGGAGTGCTGAAGGAGCAGGACCAGGGCGAGGCAACAACGGTAAATCCAAGGTGAAGGCGCCGAAGGAACCGACGCACTCGGACGTCCGTGTGGGGGCACCATAGCCCAACCCTCCAAGAAAAAGTGAACAAACGCGTTTCCCCTTCGATGACGTTAATTTTGATCAACGCCGTCACGCCGCGTTGTGCGTGCCGCTGTCTGGACCGCGAATGGGCACGGAAACGACGCTGGCGGTCGGCTCGTGTCGTAAGGGAGTCACTCTCTCGTATGATTAGCGAGTTTTGCGGGGAATTCCGTCCTTTGATTTCATGTGAATGCATATGAACGGACGAGATAGTGTGCAAGAATTGTTTTTCAGTTTGTATGGTGCAAGTTTATCAATATTTTATCAACAAGCCAACATTGGCGAATAGGCGCACCTGCACCCAGTGAATACATCACCTATGGTTAACGATGCGAGGACCAATATTTCATATTTCCCCCGTATTTGACTGCGGTCACCCGCGGCCATGCAAGAGTGCAGTGCTGTCGCCGGGCCTGCAAGAGGCATCAGCGGAGTCGGTGCAGTGTTTCCTTGCTTGTTCCTGTCGTTACGTCGAGGAATGACAGGTTGAGGCCGATCTATACTGTTTTGTTTTAGGCAGCCCGTTCGGTTCGATGCGATGGCCGCCGTAGCAGTACGTTGTTTCTTTCATGCTGCCTGGCATAATGAGCTAGCGTTGGCGCTGTTGTTGCCGTGAGTCCAGCTTGTTGGAAGTTCGAAATGTTTGCTTCCGGGGGATATCGCCGATGGTAGTCTCCCTTGGCAGTACATACGATTGATGGGTCCTAGTTCCGTTTCCGTTTACTGCTGAATGAATACCACCGTACTTTCGCGTCGCTAGTTTATGAACCCAGTCGGCATACAAAATCATCGGTGTCGCTTGCTACGTTGGCGTAGGTGAAAAACGGCGCACAGGACGCATGTTGATTCATCCTTTGAACACGAGTCTACCATTCCCAGCGTTCCGCATTTGCATTTACCAGCACACCAGCTTCTGTACATCATGTTGGCCTCTACCCGGAATTCCAGACACATTGGCTCGTGCATCGGACGGAACTCAAAGTGGTCGCATGAAAATGCTAGGAGGCACACATGTGAAGACAGTATGTTTCCGTGTCTATACTGCTTTTGCACAAGAAATTCGTTTCATCGAGGAATATCTAGCTTAGGGAGAACCGTCGATTCTGTCAGAGGATACACCCCCAACCGTGGCAGTGCCACTGCAGTCCCCTGGCGCACATTGTTGCATATTAAATCAGTGGGCCCGTCGCAGCAACTTGAACCTCTGTGCCAACGGGTTCAAGATCTCCTTCCGCAGTTCCTCGGTGATCACGAGCCCTCGATGGAGGGCAACATTCTGGCTGCCCTGGCCCACCCCCCCGGCGCTATCCTCCTCCTCCCCACCAATCTTCCCTCTTCCAGACACACCGCTGCGACCGACGTAAAACATGGTATCGGGTGTCCACTCCCCCGCCCTCGCGTCACCAGCATCTTCGGCAACTGCTCGGCTGTGGGAAATGCCATTGAAGAGGTCCTTTCTGATCTTTTCTTGGGGCCTGGATGCATTTGGGGATACCCTGCCTCTCAGCGGTGATCGGGATGACGGGCAGGGCCTTGACGATTTCGCTTTGCCCCTGTCAGGGGACTGTTCGAAAGGAGGGGGAGAGTCCACGCGGACGGAAATTGTGTCACACGAGTCCAGGTTCTGAGCCCTTCCTTGTTTTAGGGCCGCGTGGCTTGGTCACTTGGTTTTCACACCCCCGTGATCGGATCAGGGAAATGTCAACCGGTCAAAACAATCGATATGACTTCGGGCAAAACCTGTTGGGCAAACCCGCCAGAAAACCAAGACTACGGTAGTGCTGTATCTCGGCAGAGCCTCACCTGGCGCAACCGCGTCGTTGCTCCCGCCTCCCGGCCTTTGTACCCTTTATATCCCGATCCTGACACACTGCCATGCGCGGAAACGCCCTCCTCGTCGAAACGCTCACCCAAAGTTTCGGTGGTACAAATTGCCTCATCGTTGGGCTCATGAGGAGGAGCCCGGTTGGTCGAGCACCCGCCTTCGTTGTTGGCCTTGGGTCGTCTGGAGTCAGGTCGTGAGGCAAGGAAAGGGAGCACGTGCTGCCAATGTTTGAGTTAGGTTCCGTGGATCGCGCCGCCTGATTTGGTGGCCTCTTTGCCGCTGTGAAATTGCTGCTGCGGTACTGCTGCTGCTTCCCCATCAAGTAGCAAGCCCCCCGACCTGCACCTAGAACCCGCTCGTGTAAGGTACAAATCAGTTGGTTGGGAGAGTCCAACTCACCATTCACTCCATTCCCGGAAAATATGAACTCCCCCAGCAACACTTATCGAGCTTTTATACTCTTCGCAACGGGCAGGGTCCAAACGTTCTGTGAATCTTTGCGCTGCCTCACCACCCTTGCATGTCCCAGAGTTGCAACCTCTACCCAGATTACAACACATACAATACGATCTTCTCCACAACTACTTGAAGAAGCTACATATGTGTATGACTCTGGAAAAGTATCGGGGGGCATGTCATCTCCCAACCAGTCCTTTCACTTTGATGTGCACTGCGGGCAACGGTGTTTGTAATAGCTGGAGGAGGAGGGGGCGGTGGACAAACCTGTCATACACTTTGTCGTGCACCGCGTTGAAATTCTGGCCACCACTAGATTGCGATCTACCCGTACGACCTCACCTATATCTTCGGTCGCCCCCCGGATCAGCCGTGGATGTTCTTGGCGGGTTTTCTGCCCGGCACTCTGCCGCGGCCAACCGATAGTATGACTCTAACAACGCGAGCTCCCGATTCCCGATCAATCCCGACTCAGCTTTAGCCTGGGCCTGGGTTTGTGTCAAATGTTGAGCTTGGAAACAAACCCCATGAGTTCACAGATGACTATGCTTGCGGTGCAAAGGGCGACACCATCGCTCTGACGAGAATGAAATCAGCGCTCAGTCATGTTGCACACTGTGCATACGCCCCTGCGGTGCCGACTTTGCAGTCCAAGTGTCCCCACAGAATCAAATCTTCCGAACACAGGTATGTAGTATCATTTGCATGTCTTCGTTCCTGGTTATCCGGTTGGGGAGAGAGCGGTGTGAGTTTGACATTGTACCTTCCAGCGTCGAAGGCTGTTTTCTGCACATTCATGGAGTGGCCAAGTGCACGAGTGTACCTGTTGGGAGCCCTCCCGCCGAGCGCCCTTTGCTGGAGTGATTGCCTTTGCCGTTCCGTCTCCTCGTATTAGCGGGTGCTTCAATCGTCATGTGCAGGTGAACGAAGCATATGTAGTGATGCCCACGTCAATATGTCACATGGCGAGCGGCCTTTATAGTATACGTATGTCAGCTCTTTTGAATACCTTCAGGAGAGACTGTACCTGCTTCTAAAATTCCACGTTGGAGGGAAATGGACGTTTTCTTCATTATTATTAGTCAAAGAATGATTTTTCCTGGAGAAACCATCTACCACACACAGAGCCTCGGAGTAGAGGCGAATATTTAAATGTCATACGGCGAACATGTACCGACACATGACAAATGGAATGACATGGCTTCCTCGGCGAGCGCCCGACCCGGTGTACATGTACTTTGAAGTAGTGTTCCGCACATACCTTGAAACATTTGTTGTTGGCAGGAAACTCCTTCGTGGCGGCCGCAAATGAGAGAGGTGCCGTATCCGTAGTGACCCAATGGTCGTCCCTTCGGGGGCGATTGACGATGGCCTTGCCGATCGCTATTCGATCTCGGCGGGGCATGCCTTGGCTGCTGCAACACTGTACAGGAGGTAGTGAACGAGCGCACGGATGCGCATGTTTTGCATTAGCCCTTCGCACTGCAGGCGCCACCGTGCATTTGTTCAAGGTCAGTGAAAAAATGCTCACATCGGGGCTGCGCCCCTTCGCTAAAAAAATGGGGAATTCGCACGAATCATGCCCCTCCTATGAAAGCGGTATATATTGTATAACAATAGAGCCGGAGCGCGTCCCATATATCTCCGCTGACCCAACTGACCTTGGTTGGCGTCTGAAGCAATGATTCAGTGTCACGTGTCTTCTGGTGCCTCCCCGTCGATGTCGAAAGCAAGAGCCGAATGTCGTGGTCATTGCTCTTGCCGGCACGAAGATGGCGTACAGTTCGAAGGCCGTACAGTGGCAGGTCAGGCCTCCTTTCCAGGACGATGCTTCGCGTGCTCGCAACCATGCTTTGTGTGAAGGATCAGTTGGGGGGTCGAAGCGGCGTGGGAATGTGTGTGTCCACCACGCGCGCTTGTTGACCAATGAAAAGGCTTGTCAAATGTGGTCGGATTGTTAGTTTTGTTGCTCTTCGGCATATATTTTGACGTTTCGTGCGTGTTCACCTTCGTCGTGACTATTCGTATACATATCTCGAATGGGTAGTCTCTCTGTGTGCGTATTTATTATTCCTTTATTCACTGCGACCACCTTCTTCAGCACATTTCCATGAGTCGGGGCCCTTATTTGTGCGATGTGTTTTCCTCAAAGACCACGCAAGAAGAACCACCAAAGAACGCTATCGTAGCAACATCACTACATGCATGTTGTGTACACATGCACCAGGCTACGGCACTGTGTGCGACCAGGCCTTTGGAGTCGAGGAGGCGTTCCCACATGATTCATGCGTTGTTCAACCCCTCTCCCAGCACAACAAAATAGTAGTCCAACACACAAGATGGCCATCGAGCAGTCTTGGTGAGCCTGCGACCTATAGAGGAGACATCATCACCACTCTTTGCATGTTTAATCATATGAAGTTCCTGGGTAGAGAGATCGTAACGGTAAGATAACAACACCACTTCAAGTATATGCAATACATCTTCCTTGAGGATCAGTTGAAACACATGTCAATGACCATCCGCAACTAACTGTGAATTGATCGCTACAATTGTATCATTATTTATCCTGGACACTCTCACCAATCAACGTTTGTTCTATGAAAAGAAAGATAAAATGAGGCTTGCGAGGATCACAACATGCGCACACATGCCCTAATCCGAGCAGCTGTATCGCAAGCAACGAATTGACGGTGTACGTTTTTGTCCCGAGAACCGCTGGTACTCTTGACTGGAATCGTTTGAAGCAATCCTTCAGACAATTGGCGGAAATTTCAACTCCACTCTTCTTGGGATTGCATGAGAATGAGCGAAAACATCATTCATTCGTCGTGACGGGGCGCCCTTCCCGTTGCTCGTGCTTCTGCGCCGTGAATTTTTCACAACTCCCGAGCTTCTTGCACAACTCTATTAATCGACATGCCGTTGGCTATCTTCTTCCCCGTTACCTTGAAGTCTCATGCACCCATGGCCAATTCCAATTGCACTGCGGGCCCGCCGCAAGATGATTCTCGACTAGGGTTGGCACTTGTTCATTTCGAATTTCAACCTCTCGACAACCCGTTCATGGTAAGAGCCATGCTACGAAAGTTGGTACAAACCGCGTTCGACTTCCAGCTAGCTGTCGACCGAGTTGTCCCACATCAACAACTATATTTCCAACACCCAGAAATCTATGGCCTCCAGGTGGGAGGAGGCATCGCTGTGCACGGCAAGTCGAGCAAACAAAAATCACTGTACTCTTCCGAGAAAACTGAATGAAACACGGACAGTCTACTTTGGCTCGCGTCGCGGCGGCAAGCGGTGCGCCAACTATCGCCCCGCGACAAGCAGTGATGTGCGAGCGTGTTCGATGAGCTATTGTACCTCACATGAGGTCTCTCCATGGTGCTCTTGTTCGCATGTCCGCACACCAGCACCTCTATTCGTGGCATATGAGATATCATCGCCTCTATGTCACCCTAACCCGAATCTACCCTCGGGGAACCGTCTGCTGCTCTGCAAAACGCCATCACATCCAAGCGTGTTACACGAAACAAGTGTCACAACCTGACAAAATGGCAGGCATGGTGCATTGAATTCGGCGTCAGTCCACACTGTTTTACGAATGGCCGAACTGGACAACAAATCTAGTCATCAACGAGAATAGCGGGCCAAATATCCCAGCTACCGTCGTGCTTCATTCGCAAGGAACCTCACACGCTAGAACGTCACGATAATCACAGCGCGGAACCCTTCCACACAAGCGGGAATACTCAAGAGACAAGCGCGAAAAACAAAAATCTTGCTGCTATTGCCCCGAGTGATCTTCCCCAGGCGGCCGGGATCCTATTGCAGAGGCTGCTCATTACACAGCACTTTTACGGATATGAAAACAAAGGCGGAACCTGATAGCGCGTGTGTACAGGGACCGCGCTAAACTGATGTAGAGCTCGATGGCACTTGCAGTGCTCATAGACTTCGGCATCCAGCGCTGGCCCTCGTATCCGCATTGGTGACGGGATTGGTGCCCTTGAGGGTAGGGTTCTTGCACAAGTTCTTCTGGTCGAAGTCACCCATGTACGCCTGCGGCGAAAATTGGAGGAAATTTTCAAGTTGATGTGAGGAAGAAAGGGTGGGTCAAGCCATGAGGCTGGTTTCCCCCCACCGATCTAAAGTGCGCGACAATTCACATGCAGCAAGAACTCAAGCGTGCAAGCCGTGGGAGCAAAACAAAATTCGAGTAAACAACCCAAAACTTGCGAACATGTCCAATGGAAAGAGGTGATTGTTTCGTGCACGAAACGTCTTTGCTTGGTCACACAACAGTGGGCTGTGCGTGGTTCACTGGGAATCTTCAGGATATCATTTTTTCTCCCCGGAGTGAAAAACAAATCTCAACAAATAAGTGAAATTCTTATTAGTACACCATATAAGGAGGGGATAATCTGCGAAAACTACTAATTAATAAGCCAGAGGGAAAAGTTGGAGAGCGTCTCCAGGATGACCCAGCTGATTTGTCAGGTACGCACCGAACGGTGTAGCGTGTCCCCCAGATGGGACGTCACACTTGCAAGGATCGCACGTCAGCACTCCCCAGATTTTGAAAGCTAACTGGGGTAGCCACGGGAACCAGAATGTTCTTCTCTAATTCATACTCTGTGGTTCGGGCAGACACAAAGCCGGTACGCCGGTCTATATCACGTCAAAGGTGGCCTGCCTCTACACACCTAGCGCCATCAAAGAATAGCCCACAGCCATATACCCAGCACCGAACCCCTTAATCATACCCGAGTCACGAGTCCGCAGAAAAACACCAACTCACCAACGCAACATTGGAGCGCTATCGTTCTCGCATCGGGTTTACTTCCACCGAGACACGTTGAACCCTACACACGACTCGTCCCGAAAAGGCTCACAGACCACGACCCTTTGCTCCAGCACATCTCCCAGACGCCTAGAAGGTTACATGTCGCCCGTCACAGACACAAGTACCAGTGAATACCATCCATCCCCACAATAACGCATGCGCTGATTGGATAGATGGAACACAACGGGTTGTGACTATTGCGCCGCATTCGTACCTCCGTGAAGTCGGCATTTTCCACGTCCGCTCCCGTGAAGCTCGTGCTCGTAAGAACCGCGTTCTGGAAAATAGCCCCCTGTGCAACAAGAAAACGACGTAAACGACTGAAATAGTAAGCGCCAAAGAACAAGAAAACTTTCACGACGAGGAGGGCAACTCCCCTTGCCAATACTGCTATCCATACAGTGGTAATTTCGTTTAATTTTCTCGAGCTCGTCTAGGGTCTCAGATGACGTTTTCCGTCATCCAACTCCGTCACCAATACTCTGGCTAAGAGCTGGCTAAGAGTATCCAGGGTCTCAGGGACAAAAAGCATCGCAAGTGTTCAGCCTGGGTTTCGAACTCACGACTCGAACATTAGTAGAAGCCGCACTCAAATTATTAAGACGGTCAGCAGGGCTTTCTAACGGGTGATCCTCCTCGCGCTCCGCTTATGAATGCTCCGCGAATCACAAGCCAAGCGACCGTAGTACCGTCGGACTCCGGCGGCACCGCATGCCGGCGGGAAAAGGGTCACGGGACGGTCCTACCGTGGGTTTGTTGGCGTGCCTGGCGTGTGCACAAGCCCTATCCTTGACCGTTTTGAAACGCATGTTGTTGCCAACGCAATCGATCACTTGCGAATCCGCCCTGGAGAAATCAGCAAAAAACACGCACACGAGGGCGTAACGTTGCAAACCGCGACACTTGTGTGGAACGACTTTCGGTCCAACCGGTTCGTACCTTCATGGAAGAGCCGTCGAAAGAAACCCGATCTACGACCGCGTTAGTGAAGTCAGCTTCTTCCCAGTTGGAGCTCTGGGCCCATCGTCCCGAATAAGGAGCATGATCCGCGCAGAAAGAACGGAACGAGACAGAGGTTCCCGGTCAGATAGGTAGGTAATCGTGAGTTGACCCGAGTCAGCTATCAAGGAGTGTCCTGACCTTATCTCCTGATTCACTGCTGTGTCGGCACCATAAATGAGTAGTGTCGACTTTGGTCAATGGTAGTCATAGGTCTACGGGAACTCGGGGCTCCGTGGTATCAATTGCTAATGTTGGTGGTGTTCTTTGCACACAACCTTCTCTATCTTGGCTACCAAAATCTTGTGCATGTGTTCACGCTTTTGTTGGACACTTCGAAACGGCCGGCGCGTATTTTGAAGCCAACAACATGATCGCCACAAATCCTGAAATATGGCCAGACAAAGCTGATTCAATACACTCGATTGGAGAATGGAAATGTTAGAGTACCGCCCATCGTGCATCATTCGGTTGTCTCGTGTGGCATGTACATGTGATGGAACCTCTGAACACAGCGGATGCCTGGCCACTAACAGGGTGCTGCCTTATCCGCTACCTAACTCACCCGTGCGTAGGCCTTGGACATGACGACCTCCTTGAAGTCTCCCTTGGAGAAGTTTGCTTCAGAAGCGATGACGCCGCTCAGGTCGAAACCGGCCGCCGATTTCCCGCTAGAAAAAATGACAGCAAACGCGTGGAAACAAAGGCACAGGCAAAGCCATCGTTACATGCGTGCGGGCAAGCGGTACAGAGAGTCGGTTGCCGAGGTATCAGTGTCGATCTCGACGTCTGCCGATCTATCTACAGTCAGACTCTGTCTCGATAACCTCCTCCAACCCACAACGCCCGGAAAGTTGCGAGAGAATCAGAGCCCCTCCAGCAGGACAACCCACGATGAGCGTTGACAGCAATCTTTCCCACGCTTCCACAAGCCACGCAAACGATTCCTTGGTGGAGAGAAACGATCCAACATGAGAAATCCTCTCGTTTTTTTTTCACGGGAAAACCCGCCGCATCAGCCTGCCGAACGAGTACGTAGGAGTGGCGTTTGGTCTGCTCTGACAGACCGCGCCCAAGGAAATAGTCGTATCCAAACGAATACATCACTGATAGTTTTGCGAGAAGCGCCACGATAGGCTACGTGCAAGACTGCTTGCATGCTGCGCAGCTTGGTGAACACGCACATACCAACCCAGCACGTGTGACGGTCTCAACTACTTGAAGTGTACTGGCACTGCTGCTGTACAGGACAGGAGCTGATGCGTTACCGTATTCCGAACTGCGGCAATAGCCAGCGTGGTTCCACGAACCTCATGTCGCACTCTCGTAGGTCGTACAGCTTATCCCTTGCGGCATTCGCCTGTCCCATAGCACTGCTCTTGAACAGGCACCTGCGGCAAAGAGCAATAGCCAACACCAGGGGCAGGCTGTGTTATTGACCTACCTCCCTCTCATGAGCGAACACACACGACCGGCGCAATCGACCCAAAACATGAACAACAAAGCTTTGCATCCAGCAGGATGTATGATGCACCTGTCCTTGCCCTGACCGACCGGCGGGAGGCTGAACTTCGTCGTCGATCCGTCAGCCAGAGCGGCCTCCCCTCCCGAGAAGAGCACCGCGGCGCCCGCTAGAAACGTCCCCAGCGCTACCCGAGCGGAGTTGTTGTCGAGCGACATGGTCGCTGCTGCTGTTGGTGCTGTCGAGCATTGGCGAGTAGAAACACCTTTTCGAAGGAACCCGCCGCTGCAGGGGGCTACGAAAGCAGCGGATTGTTCTAGGTGCACTGCCAGCGCAAGCAGTGCCGTGGGTGCTGATGTTGCCTTCATATTGTGTATCCTAGTTGCAACAGCAGGGAACCGGGTGGTTATGTGTTGTGCGACACTGACTGCACGAGGCCAGAGGAGGGCGAGGCTCGCGGGGAGGGGTCATATTTATAAGACAATCTGCCGAGCCCCTCACCGTCTTTCTCTCTCCTTCAACTTGTTGTTGCACCTCGGTCTCTAGACATCAAATTAACGGCAGCAACTAGCGACCAGGACATCGGACGAGCAGCGGAAAGGCAAGGAAACCCTAGCTTGTGAGCCGGCGTGGACCTCACCGTGGATCTTCGGCCGCACTTCGCGTGACTGAAAGCTTTCTCGGGCGACAGAAGAAGGGTACCAGCGGTGCCGCGCTGGAAAGTCTTGTCGTGAGTCGTGAGTGTGACGCGCGTTGTCTTGCAGAGAGTCGAGACATACATGTACGCTATACACTTCACCTCTGCTCTATGCTCGCACTCTCTGTTTGACTGGCTCCGGTATCTGATGGCGTCTCCTCGGTGCTGCTGTGCATCAGCTTTCGGTCGGATCTGTCTTGTGTCGACGCCGGGACAGGGAGTTCAACATAGACTAGACACGTCCCACGACGATCTTTCAAAGTTTTCAAAACAGAGAGATGAGGCGCACATCGGTAACCCCGCGCACGCCAGTACCTCAAGGCACCAGGAGAAGCTTCTCTATGTATACCTTCGCGTGTTGTCGAGTATTGCCAAGAAACCTCGTCGGTTTCGGGCTTTATGAGTTTCATCGCGCACCGCGCTGCTGAACCAAGCCGCCCTTTCCGCAGCACGCTCTCTTTGAATGTTGTGGATACCCCGATTAACCACTCCGTCTCGCAGACCTTCTATTTTCGGCTATTTATTGTACTTATTTACAGGAGTGTTGTGTGCGTGGTCCTTCATCGTATATCTCCACATAGCGCTGCTCTACCGTCGCGCTGTATTCTCACCGCGCATACACACACAGGAGGTTGATGTTTCCTGGAGCATGGGGTTTCTCTCTGGCGTCTCACCCTCACACACAAGCCCAGCCCGCGCAACAATAGGCCCGTTGTGGACGTTTTCAGCACACGATTGTGTGAAAGTCTGCTACAAATGCACACGGCAATCAATTTTCAATTTTCAACGTCCCCCTGCTGTGATCGCGGATGAACACGCACGTTGACGTTTCCCCGCCTTCCGAGCCCGACGCCTCTCTCTACATTATCGACACACCCACACAAGCGCAACCGCCACATGCACCATATGGATAGCAGTCCGGCTTTAATTTTTCTTTTGTCTCGGGGTTACCGGCCTGACCCAGTCTCTTCAACTTTTTTTTTCTCGAACCCACAAGTAGAGGTTTTGTATGCAATGAGGAGGTGACGAGAAAAAAATGTTTCAAAGGATGAGGCTCTCTCTCTCCCTTGACCGTTTTCGGATCAGTTTGTGTTTAATGATGGTGTATCGACTACTTACTACTATACAGCAGTGTTGTCAATTGCAAAGATATTATGTAAGAACTTGTTTTTTCGTGGGCTTTTTCGCTGTGAGCGCATGTCGCGCATACCCGCGCGAAAGCAGCAGAAGAAATACTTTTATCACACGCACCCGTGCAATCCAGGGATATTAAAGTATGTTCGACCACAGGTCGTCATTGTGTGCGTGTGTGCATGCGCCTCCTCGCCGAAGGCATTGGTTGTCTAGGCGATGCACCACCGCCGGCACCATGTGTTCTCTACAGCAACTACACCCGTTGGACGAGTGCGGTTGCTCTGAAAGACATGCTTCGTTTTTTTTTTTTCAGTTTTGCGGACGCATAGCATACATATTTTGTCAACATAATCCGACTAGATACTCCAAATCTAGTCACGACGAACAGGTTCGCAGGCGCAGTTTCCCTTGATTTCCATCCTGAACAGAAAGAACAGAAGGCGGGCTCAGACCTTCGGAGGGTTTAAGCCCCGGCATGTTGAGTTACGTAAACATGTTCCGATGGATTTCTCGCGACATCAGAAGTGACGACCTCGGGAACTGGAGGAAACGAAGGACTCAAAACAAGACGTGGCTGGAGCCAACATGTTGAAGCACTTTCAAAGAGGTTTAGGTGGTTACCACTTGTACAATTGTAACAGCAATGCTGTATTTTGTTCAACACGTGAGCTCATCCGTCCCTTCGAATGGGGTACTCCAGTGTTGGTCTCGAGCGGGTGCAGTATTGGTCCGTTATCATGCGGGTGCGATCCCGCCGATTTCACCGGCATTCTAGCGGGCAACCGGCGCTATTCCGAGTGTATGAAACAACTTGAATATTCCATCTGTGTGACGAGATTTCACCCGCATTACACAGCCAGGGCAACCGGAACCACTACTGTATTTGTTTCATGTCACGTAGACATGCTTGGAAATGCTACAACTCCAACAGCAGTAGCAACCGTTGGCGTCGAAACTCGCAGAAGCTCAAGGTCCCTCTGCACGACTCGTGGGTTGACGAGCCGTTTGCGGGTCTGCGCACACCTCAGGGCACCACCACCGCCCCCCCCTGACCCTTGCTTATGTATCTCCGTGAAACGTCTTCCAGGCGCGTCCCGTGGTAGGACCAAAGAATCCTCACCGTCATGGCGGGCGCTGTTTCCTCCGCGGAAAACGGCGGCAGCCTGAGCGGCTCCCGCCCGATCCAGCCGCCGCCCCAGCAGCAGCAGCAGCAGCAACAGCAACAGCAACACCGACGGCGGCCGATCCACGGAGCCCCCGGGCTCCGCCATGCACCGGCAGGCCGCCCCCTTCGCCCCCGCCTCTCCTCTTCCTCAAGGGCATCGTCATCGTCGTCTTCTGCGGCTGCCAGAGCAGCATCCAGAGCCTCGCCGCCCTTCGGTGGCGGCAGCGGCAGCGGTGGCGGCTTCCTCCCTTCGAACGCGGCAAGGGCAGGGGGAAGGGGCTCCCATTCTTCCATCAGCACGCGGACCAACAGCAGCAGCAGCAGCAGCGGACTCTGGGCCTCCATCATGTCGTTTGGAGCGTCGGCGTTCCCGGCGTCCCTGTCGGGCACCGCGGCCGTGGTGGGGGTGCCCCCGGCGTCGACACCGACGCCTCGGCGCGTAGCCCGTCGAAACGCCGCCTCTTCCTCCTCGGCTATCGTGGCGAGGGCGGCGGCGGC